GAACAGAAAAAGAACATATTACTCAGTCAGCACAAGTGAAAAGCTAACACAATTTTCAACTCGAATCCCATTTATGCAAATTGTAAGAACAACTATGCTGCTGATGCCACAGCAACACATTGGAATGACCTGCTCTCATCTGAAGTGAAAGACGAAATGAAGTAGTTGCGATTTTTGAGTCGATGTAATCATTTGCAATGCATTTTACATTCATTAAAATTATGAATAAAACCCGACAAAGATTGTCGAACGATGTTCACGTGAAAATAAACAAAAGATTAAACGATTCGAGACCGGCCACCATGCTCCTGTCTTGAATTTGCATACAAACTGTATGGTTTTATGTTGCGTGCATAAACAAATATCATTTAAAATGTAGCACAAAAGATGGAGGCGAAACATACGGAATATGTTTTATTTTGCATTTTGTTTTATGCGAACGGAATTAAAATCGCACGCGTTTTTGTTCTTGCCAACAAAAACAGATGGATAAATGACACAACAATTCAGTTGTATGGAAATTTTAAGTCTCAGTTGCCGAAAAAAAATCGTCCGTACCATTTAAAAGCATAACCATTTAAATGGTCGAGTCAAAACGAGTGCTGTGCTGAGAACAATGGCGACTAATTAAACTTCGGGTCAATTAGATTTTGAAATGAAATTTACGCTTCAAACCATTGCTGACACTCAATGAATTCGGTTTATGATGATTTTTAAGCTTGGTATCGTTTCATTCCTCGCAATTGCTCATGGTTTAAAATTAGTTTTTATGATTGTTTCACTTTCACCCGAGGATTTGTCATAGCTCAAGCAAGTTAAGACAAAAAAACGTAATTTTTTTATTAATCAAATTATCTTTCTTCATACACAGAGGAAAAATAAGAAGAAGAAAAAAGAAACAGAATGAGTAGATTGTACTACATATATTTCAAATCACTTAAATTCAGTTCATTTACGAACAAAATGTTAGAATCCCAAACTGTAAATATTCTACTTTAGAAAAAGCCTATCATACGCGAGATGGAGCAAGTTGTTATGGAACTAAGTTGAGCAATCATAACTGATTTCAAGTGGAGCAGCTCAACTTATTTTCAACGTAGCTTTTTATGTGAATTATGCCATTTGATTCTAGTACTGTTGGAGAAGAGTTTGTAATTCAATTGATTGATTTTAATTCCTGTTTCAAACAGGGAACGGCATTTATTATGGTTATTTTTAGTTATGATATTAAAAATTCTGATAATAAATTTGCCAGTGATATTTTGTCGCTTTTTTAAATTCCTGGTTATTTTTATATCAATTGAATTTTTTAAAAAAATGTTCGATTAATTTTAACATGAATAGATTTGTGTGTGAAGAAATGATTGATTTTAATAAAATGTTCAGAGATTTAAGTGTGTTTTATACTAAAAAGTATAAGACAAGATTTCAACTTTTACGTACAATTTTTGTATTTGAGTAATAAACTCCAAAAGTGTGTAAAAGTTTAAATCTTGTTATTTACTTATTCGATTGATTTTATCAGAATTGTTGATATTACGGCATGACTTCTGTGTAAATATTGAACAAGCGACCTTTTTTTGGAGTCTAGATTCAAACAAGTCTTGAGACAAACAAAAAAGTCATCACCGACGACTCATCACAGAAAAACTTATTCATGTCAATAATGATTTAATGATTTATTTCATTCTTACATACGAAACAAATGCTGCATACATAAAAAAGGTTCTGGAAATGGTTAAAATACAATTTAACTCAAAAAATTTCTTGGATGAACCAATTGTAGTAGTAGTTTTGGCTTTGTCCATAAAAGAATTGTCTCCCGTTGATAGAAAATGGAAATTGAGCTGCATACCCCTTATACCAACTACCATGATCAATTTCAACGCCCATTTTTCCATTTGGCAGTAATTTTTGAATGAACCAATTCTTCCAAATTATATCTTGTCCATAGAAGAACGGTTCACCATTCAGATAAAATGAGAATTGAGCTGCGTAAGCTTGTCTCCATGAGCCTTGGTCCGTTTCTTGGCCCATTTTACCATTCGGCAAGAGCTCCTGGATGAACCAATTATATCCGTCTGCCAGTGTTAAGCTTTGCCCATAAAAGAATGTTCTGCCATCAACAGAAAATGGAAATTGAACTAGGTAAAATTTTTTCCAATAGCCATGATCAGTTTCTTCACCCATTTTGCCGTCTGGTAAGAGCTCTTGGATAAACCAATTGTAATCATCCCAGTTTTGTCCATAAAAAAACGTTCGTCCGCCAATAGAAAATGAAAAATGACCTGCGTATCCTTTATGCCAATATCCGTTATCAGTTTCCTCGCCCATTTTGCCATTGGGTAAGAGTTCCCGGATAAACCAATAAAACGTTCCATCGCTTATGTCTTGTGCATAGAAGAATGTTTTATTACCAACAAAAAATGGGAATTGCTCACGATAATTGAGTCTCCAAGAGCCATGATCGGTTTCTGCTCCCATTTTGCCATTTGGTAATAGCTCTTGAATAAACCAATTACTGTAAATTGTGTCCTGCCCATAGAAGAATGTACGGCCATCAATAGAAAACGGAAATTGAACTTCATAAAATTGATTCCAAGTACCACTATCCGATTCTTGGCCCATTTTGCCGTCAAGAAATTTGTATATTTTTTGAAGTGATATTAAACACATTGGATCATTCCATTCTTGTCTCTTGATTTGTTGTCGTTGAGCAGCTTCACGAATCGTTAAATTCTTTTCATTCGCACCATACACCCATTCATATGGACGAGTTATTGAAGTGTTTCGCATCAAATCACTGAGTGAATTAATCGCCTCAATATAGTGTCCACCTTCCATATTATGACGAATTTGTGTTAACAATTGCAAATTTTTGGCCGTCACTATAGACACCAGTTTCTCATCGAATGCAATATCATTACATTCTTCCTGTGGTACAATTACAATGTTGAATGGCATATAGTAGAACATTGCTCTAATAGTTCTTCCATAACGAGATAATATATCTTTTATTGTTAATCGTTTACTTTCAGGAAGTTCGTACCATTCTTGGTTTTCGTAGATATTGTAATGACCATTAAGACTGTGCACATAATTTTCCAAACCTTTTGGCATATGATGTAAATATCCAGCGCGTTTAACGGCAAACGATGTTAATTCGGCCAAAAAATCAACAAATGTCTGACGAGCATCATCATTTAGCAAAGCACTATCAAAAAATGTTTGAAGAGTTGAACCGGGTATTAGATGATAATGTTGCGGATTTTCGTTTAGATGGCTTTTCGGTTTTGGATGATACATACGATCTATGTATTGATACATTTGACTATAATCACCAGAACTTAAAAGTGAGATATCTGTACAAGCCATAATATTAGGTTGATTATTGAAACCATAGCTTGCGGTGAAAACACCAAATAACACGTATAAATTCAAGCACATTTCGACAACAACTGATTCCTTACTGCTGCATTTTCGATTAATATACCATCTGCCTACTTACTAGAAAAATGCATGGAAAAATGAATCACTTCAAATGAATCAGTAAAACAAAAATAGAAGCAAAGTGATAACAACAGAGATTGTCTAAAGGTTGATAGTCAAAAAATCCAAGTTTAATGTACTAATAATCTATCATATACGCAGAGATAGTCGGGAGCAAACACTTTGGTAAATACCCTTATCTGGTGAAGGTTAATAATAAGTGCATGTGATTCATTTATTTACGTTGTAGGTTCTATTATCAAAACTCTTTTCATTTCAAGACCAATTGGATCGTAATTTGATTCTACTAATGATTTAATTTGTTGAGTGTTTTAGTAATTTCAAATAACGTTGTACCATTCGATTAGAAAAATAACATTAGTGTATGCCATAATCGAATTCAAAGGAAGCAACTACATTGTAATTAGATGACATAATTAAAATTATAAAACATAAACAACATAATTTCCCCTTAATCTAACCCATGGATCTAATTTGCAGAAGGAAACATTTGAAAATTAAACGAAGTAGGCATCAGAAGTGAGTTTGCAGTTGTAATGAATAGTGGTGCAAATGATAATTTCTTCTATACACCAATACACGTTCCGAATAAAATCGAAAAATGTTTCCAAAATGGATGAATACCGTTTTGAATTTCTACCATTTGTATGGTTTTTACACAAGTCAAACTAGAAAATCAATCAGTTTAATTATTCTCCTTGTGCATATCGCTTTGTGTTGTTTCGCCTCATTTGCTGCTTTGGCAGCAATCATCGCAGAGCATCCCTTTTTCGAATATTTAGATGTATTGAATTTTCTCTCGTATTACGTTGCCAGTGTTGTAACATATTGGCTAATTATTTATGACTCGTTTGCGAATCGAAGCGTTCAGTTTATATTTTGGCGAATATTTGATCGAATACATCAAAGTTATGGCCATAATGTGGAAATAAATAAGGGCGTTTATTTAACTGGATGGATTGCACTCTTACTTATAGATACAGCAGCGTTTGGATTGTCCTTGAATGATATTGAAACGCCGGTCCTCAATAAAATATTGCATTATTTTTTCCTTAGCGTTTTTGATAACCGTATATTTTTCTATATCCTGCATTTGAAATTAATTGCTTTCCAGTTGAAAAAAATCGAAGTTCAATTGAAGCATTTGAAAGGAAAATTAACGGAAAAACGGCTCACATACATTAGCAATCAGTATCGATTGACGCACGAAATGTCTGACTGCATAAATGTGACATTCAGTTGGTCTCAAGTCGCATTGATTATGTTGACTTTTTACACGTCTGTCACATTTTTAAATATTGCATATCGGTTAGCTTATGCAAAATTCGATGAACTCAACTCAGGTGCGGTATTCATTTTAGACGAACAAATAATTACTTGAAAATTATTCGTTTGATCATAATAATCTAACAACTGAGAGATACATTATCAATGAAAAATTTCAATATTTTCTAAATTGTCATGGTTTTTTGTTATTTTTCAAGACCTCATGAAATATTCATGTACTACTATGTTGTTGCGCATCGTAATTCAAATTTTCTATTTGAACAAGTACATAAGTAAATGCCATTTTTGGGTAAACTAATCTAATTTCTGCCTTCAAAAGCTGTTGTATTAAAAAACAATCGTTTTTTCTATCGTAGTCCAAATCAATCTCCTTCCTTCTATTCAACATTACGGATAAATCGAATTGTAACTCAGCTCAAAGGGTAAAATATCTTGTTCATCTCCACTTTACATCACATTCTATTTTGATTCTTATTCATAGGTAGAAACAATGGCGCATCAAATGGAGTGCAGCTCCATTCAATTTAATGTTAAAGGAATTTTGGTTTTGAACACTGGAACGTTGTTCAAAGTATACATGCATTTTATACTTGACATATCGATATTTCGATTAAATTTCGCTCATTTTTTATAGCTCATGGGAATGGTCTTCACATACGTCATATTGTTCATTCAATTTTCACAAATGTTATAATTTCTGAACTTAATGCTAAATATCAACAAGAAAATACAGTACTTACTTGCGATGGGAATGCGACGTGTAGAAAAAATATGAGTAGATGAGATGATTGATTTTTAAAATAAATAGCTCAATCAAAAACTGTAGGTAATAAAATTACCTTCTTGGCACTTGTAAAAGTAGATTTTTGCTATTCGAATGCTAAGTACTTACACAAAAATTCAAAGCATCAAGTGAGCGCCAAAGCTACTGAAGTAGAATAAATGTCTTGAAGTAAATTTGGCTTGATTTGATTTGACATGTTCCTACTTCAAATGAGTAGTTTGGAGCGAAAATGTAATACAGACAAGTTGCGCGGAAAAATGTCAAATGAAAAGAGATAGCTAGAACTATATAGCTATCCCTTTTCCGCTCATTCATCATCGACATTTTTCTGCGCAACTTTTCTGTATTACATTTTTGCTATAAATAGTTCTGACGCTTACATGGCGTGTTTATCGAATCAATGTTGATCAAATAAATATCAGTTCAAATTATTCAAGTAAAACTCCCTAACGCAGAAAGTAGCGCTAACAGCATTGTCATAAAATTATTAGCCTATAGCAGTAAAAAGCGCAAACCTAGTATATGGAGATTGAATGCCATAAAAAAACACACGGAAATTGCGGTGGGCTTGATCGGTGCATTTATTAAAAGCATGGCAAAAGAATACAATTAAAATGAAAGCATTATTTTATAATTATAATTATCTATTACAACTCATATGAACTAGATGGGCAGTTTGCACTCTGTATTAGCTCGATTCGGCTCTATGATACACAAAGTATATACAGTATACACAGAAGCGGAACAGCGCCAATATACTCAAACACTATGAACAATATTCACGTGTATCGTGTTGGCCCGTGCTCTGTATAGCATAGAATGGAATGGAGCAGCATCGACCATTCTTACAAGATCGATATTCAAGTGTAATGGAATAAGAAAATATCAGAGTCGATATTTGAAAAGATGGTTTTTCATAGTAGCATTACGAATATGAAACAATTCAAAAGGCTTCGTTAAAAACAGAACAGCGCAAAGCAAAATATTTAAAACGGCACACGCTATGTTTCATTCTTACGGCTTTCTTTTCCATATTCCATTTTATTGGAACCTTCGTTATAACCACATCCAATCATCAATATTGTAATATTCATAATCATGAATAATGCACTGAAATATGAACATTTCCACTGTAACAGATGTACCGTTGTTTGATTTTCTGACAATTTCACATGGTTTCGTAATGTGGATATGATGAATGCATTGTCGCACATCCATTGCATTGGGAAATTCTATTATTGATTTCAGTGTAATGAACACATTTCCACCCAGAATTCGAAGAAGAGTAAGCGAGGAAAATGTATTGCATTTCCAATTGTTCCTAGTAAACTCATGAATAAATTGTGATTTGGCGACAGAAATTCGGAATGCGTCCTTCGAGTGTCTGGTTTTAACAATCAGAAAATATCTGTGCCCTCTCCTCAAAGGTATTGATAAGTGCAATTAAATAAGAAAATATCAGAGTAAGTATTTGAAAAGATAGTTTTTCATAGTAGCGTTACGAATTAGTGTTGAGACAGGCCTCTAAAAATCAAGTAATAAGAACAGGATGATTTGAAAATCTGCGTAAAAAAGAGATCAAGAATAGACTAGTGATAATTTCAATAATTATTTTAAATAAAATTAGTAACTTTGGCTTATAGTAAAGCAGAGAAAATGAATAAATGATGCTTGCCTTTCCACAGACTTCTAAATTACAACTTATCAACTTGAATCCTTTGAAAAAGATCGGTTTCTGTGAGCGAGCCATGATCAAAACGATGTATCACTGCAGTTCTGGTGGATACTCGTACCAGTCCAAATCGTAAGCAACATCGCCCAGCGACACAAATTGTTCGGTAGCAAAAGTTGCAAATTTACACAGAAGAAAGGGCCAGGCCAACGAACAGCTTATGCAAATGATGTTAAATGCAAATTCAACTATATTGAACGGTGACTGATGATAAAGAAAAATAAAATATTATTGGAAAAGTACACAATTTAGTCGACAGAACCCTAACTGAGATAAGTTTTCAGAACTCATGGGTTTACATTGCAATGTGAAAGGTGTTACAACCATAATCCACTCTTTTCAATGAATTCTTTGATGAGCTAAGCAATCACTACGCGCTTACGTGTTCCATGTTGTAAAACGAAATTCCCATAAAAACAGCATTGGCGGGTAGAAGTGCCAGAATTGATCCGCTATTTATATCCGTGGACAATTTGAAAATTCTAGTAAAATACATGAAATAGCATGTAAAATATAGAATGAATAAAAATGAAACAAGTAAACGAAGAACTACTCACTCAAATCCTTCGACTTGAATTTTAATTGCCTGTGAAAGTTGTTTTTGAAGCAACAGCCATCTCTGTGAATTTCCTATTTTGGGGCTTTTTTCAACCAACTTCAACTTCGCTCGAATAATATATTTAAAGTGATCGGTAATGGCAGCTAGATAGATGCAGCAACACAAAAAGAAAGATGTACCGACTACGACGGAAGTAGCGTACGAAACACCACCGTTGAACTGAATGATCCACAGTGAATACCAGCCAAAAATATTGCTTGTATCAAATGGTGTAATCAAAGTATAGGGTAAGGAAATTTTTGATAGGTCATAATCTCCATTCAAAAGACAATAAAATGAGTAGAGCAGAGGCAATGTGTATATAGTTTGATTCGATAGGATGAAGTAAAAAAATCGTCTGCTATATTTCCGGCACTTTTGTTCGCTGTTCCAGTAGATGTCATGCGCGTCATACTCTTCGTCTGAAGGAGAAAAAGACAAGAACATAGATTGAATATGGATATTTTGATTTTTTTTTCTTCAAAATTAATTCAAATTTAACGTCGGCGTTGTTTTCTAAACAGAATCCAATTAATTCATAATGCTAATGTTCAATTGTGTCGGTGAAAATAAAAATGGGAATACAGAAGTGCTTTAACTGAAGTGCAATATGAAATAAACCTGGTTCACCTGAATCAACTCTATCGACGATCTCTTGCAGTTTGAGAAGCAATCGTTTGATCTTAATCATATTCAGGCCAATGCTCAAGAACATGCCTCCACTTTGAACAAAGGCGATGATAACGAAAACGTTTTCCAAAACGGCAACCAAATCGGTTACATTCATGAACACAAACACTGCACCTGACATTATAATTAACATGATCACGTGAAATAGGACAAAGTAAGTGAAAAACGATTCAAAAAAGTCGTTAGTCAATTCAGCCAAACGGTTCGAATGCAGGCCGATTGCAGTCATAATGACTCGGTTATCTTCGAGCACTTTGAATTTCGCCATCGAAAATTGCTAAAGTTCTTTTTGTTTCACTTTCAGACGAACTGATATTGATTACTGTTCCCTCTGATTGTTCGAACTTGACTAAAGTTGTGTTACTATTTCCGTACCTATGGATGTACAATTGTACGTCCAATGAAATAATCAAAGTCGTAATTGTTTTAGCAATTAAAAAGCATTTGGAAAAAAATATGTCGCCAACGCAGAGACCGATGATTACGAATGTATACAACACCCAATATGGGCTCTGTGTGTGGTGGAGAATCCCTCTGATATGTGGAAACACTTTCGATATGAATCGAAATCTATACAGCTGCAACGGAATTACATCGATAGCCATTCGTTTCGGCGATTGGCATAATTCGTTGTTTTTCGGTGGCATACTCGGTTGCGTTTAAAGGAACGTTTACCAAACGATGTGTTATGGAGTTGACTGCTGTGAGTTTGTGTGAGTGATGATGATTTGACTCGATTGGAATCAATCTATCGGTTGCTGTTCACATGCGATAAATATCGAACTCAACTTGATCGTCAGGCGAGCGTTTTAGTTTCCAATCCAGAGACGGTGTTTCGTGTAGGTGGTCGTTAGAAATTAAAAAGCAACATGAACATTTTGAAAGTTTTTCCTTTCGTCGAGTGTTTATTGAATCGATCAAAGAATATTGATCAAATAGAGGGCAGTTCAGATTTTTGGAGTGAAATTACCTAACAGCACCCACTGCATTGTCGTCTAGCACATGGCGATGACAAGAGCAAAACTAGTACAGGGACTGAATGCTATAGAAAAATGACACGGAAGTTGCGGTGGGCTTGATTGGTGCATTTATTAAAATCGTGGCAAAAGCATACAAATTGGAAATGAAAGCATTATCTATTACAACTCATATGAACGAAATTGGCGCTTTGCACTGAGTTTTCGCTCCATTCGGCTCTATGATACACAAAGCATATACACGAAATACGATACACAAGGCGGAATAGCGCGAATGTACTCTAACACTATGAAAAATATTCATGTGTATCGTATTAGCCCTTGCCGTGTGCTCTGCATAGCATAGAGTGGAAAGAAACAAAAATAAAGCGTTCTTACAGGATAGAATCTAAGTATTAATAAATAAGAAAATATTGTAGTCAGTATTTGAAAATATAGTTTTTCATAATAGCATCAATTAGGGTTGAGATAGTTCTCTAAAAATCACGTAATAAGAACAAGATGACTTGATTATCTACGAACGAAGAAAAAAAAACCGAATAGATTTAAAGCAGAGAAAATGAATGAATTTTATGCTTGCCTCTCCAAAGATTTTCAGAGTGCAACTTATCAACTTGAGTCCTTTGAAATAGATCGGTTTCTGTGAGCGAGTCATGATCAAAACGATGTATCTCTGCAGTTCTGGTGGATACTCGAACCAGTCCAAATCGTAAGCAACATCGCCCAGCGACACAAATTGTTCGGTAGCAAAAGTTGCAAATTTACACAGAAGAAAGGGCCAGGCCAACGAACAGCTTATGCAAATGATGTTGAATGCAAAATCAACCAAATTGAACGGTGACTGTAGGTGAAGAAGAATAGAACATTATTGGAAAAGTACACAATTTGGTCGAACCGTAACTGAGATTATTTTTCAAATCTCATGGGTTCATATTGCAATGTAAAAAGTTTTAGAAGCATAATCCACTCTTTTGAATGAATTCTTTAATAAACTAAGCGTGATAATTGCGATTACATGTTCCATGTTGTACAACGAAATTCCCATGAAAACAGCGTTGGCGGGTAGAAGTGCCAGTATTGATCCGCTGTTTATATCCGTAGACAATTTGAAAATTCTAGTAAAATACATGAAATAGCATGTAAAATATAAAATGAATAAAAATGAAACAAGTAAACGAAGAACTACTCACTCAAATCCTTCGACTTGAATTTTGATTGCCTGTGAAAGTTGTTTTTGAAGCAACAGCCATCTCTGTGAATTTCCTTTTTTAGGGATTTTTTCAACCAACTTCAACTTTGCTCGAAGAATATATTTAAAGTGATCGGTAATGGCAGCTAGATAGATGCAGCAACACAAAAAGAAAGATGTACCGACTACGACGGAAGTAGCATACGAAACACCACCGTTGAACTGAATAATCCACAGTAAATACCAACCAAAAATAGTGTTTGTATCAAAAGGGACGACCAAAGTCAAGGGTAAGGGTATTTTTGATAGGTCATAATCTCCAATGAAAAGACAATAAAATGAGTAGAGCAGAGACAATGTGTATATAGTTTGATTCGATAAAATAAAGTAAGAAATCCGCTTGGTATATTTTCGGCATTTTTGTTCGCTGTTCCAGTAGATGTCATGCACATCATACTCTTCGTCTGGAGAAAAAAGACAAAAACATAGATTGAGCATGTACATTTTGTTTTTTGTTCTCAAACCTAAAACCAATTTTACTTCAGTTGTTGTTTTCTGAAAAAAATCTAATTTTCAGATTTTCAATTACTACGCCTAACATGATTTTAATTTATTTAATCATTATTTCACTATGTACTACATAGGGGTATTGCAGCGATCATTAAATATATGTATTTCATCAAGTTTATCAAGCTCTTTCCAAGTTTATGCATAGTGTCCAACTTTTGTTCTGTCTCTACCATCTAAATGTACAGTAAAATAATTTACGGGCACGACGTAAGATGGCGTTTTTTCTGGTCAAAAAAGTTGCAATATCCCTTTGATGTACTAAATCAGTACTACTGATAAGTCTGTATAAAGAGAAAACTAAACCTGAATAAACTCTATCGACGATCTCTTGCAGTTTGAGAAGCAATCGCTTGACCTTAATCATATTAAGACCAATGCTCAAGAACATGCCTCCAGATTGACTAAAGGTGATGATAACCAAAAATGTTTCCAAAATGACACCAAAATTGGGTACATTCATGAACACAAACACTGCACCTGACATTGTTATTAACATTATTACGTGAAATAGAACAAAGTAAGTGAAAAACGATTCAAAAAAGTCGTTAGTCAATTCGGCCAAACGGTTCGAATGCAGGCCGATTGCAGTCATAATGACTCGATTATCTTCGAGCACTTTGAATTTCGCCATCGAAAATTGCTAAAGTTCTTTTTGTTTCACTTTAAGACGAACTGATTTTGATTACTGTTCCCTCTGATTGTTCGAACTTGACTAAAGTTGTGTTACTATTTCCGTACCTATAGATGTACAATTGTACGTCCAATGAAATAATCGAAGTCGTAATTGTCCTAGCAATTAAAATGCATTTGGTAAAATATGTCCCCAACGCAGAGACCGATAATGACGAATACAGAACCCAAATAAAAATTCACATAAAAAATATGCGCTCTATGTGCTCCACAATACTCACGAAGATAAACTCATTTTTGTCAGTCGCGTCAAGATGTACTCTGAATGTGGTGATTTTATACGAAAATATTCGGTGCGATATTTCACTCTAGATTTCGCTGACACCAAAAAATAAGCACAAATTTAATATGAAATTGGTATACTATGTAATTTGGAGCACATGGAGTGCAAATTTTTGATGTGGATTTTTATTTAGGCACTTTCAAGAGGGAGCTCATTTTATGTAAGATTTAAGTGGATAAATACGTTTAAAACAGTTCACAACAACCAAGTTTTTGTTACAATTGAAACAATTAAGTTCGATTCATTATCGATTTTTTTTGGTAAAGTGCAAAGTACAAGGTAGAGAGGTTCTATTTTCGTCTCCACATGTCAAAGTGATTTTCCTAACCACCACACGCACTAATGATGATCAGCCATTTCACTCGCACAAGTAATATCGGTAGTATTGCAATGCGATTGACTATTTTTAAAATAAAATGTGGCTTTTATTGATTTTTGGCGCATCGAAAGATGTTTTATATTCTGGGGAGCAAATCGTCGTTAGACTAAGGATGCAAACAGAACATTGCATTGACTTCATATTCTGACATATGCGCTCGGGAAATTATTACAAGCCTGATTTTATTTTAAAAATAGTCAATCGTACTGTAACACTTGAAGATATGCAATTAAAAGCTAGCGTAAAATTTTAATGACAATTTCAGCCTTCATCACTGTTGTCATCTTGCAAAGCATCCCCAAAACCACCAAGGAAAACCGAATGCTTACATTCCTGCAATAAACAATTCAAACGCATTGCATATGTGCAATTAATGGTAAACTTTTAAAAGTACCGAAGACGCATGGCGATTCTTTCGGAGATCTTCGAAACCTTAGTCCAAAGCCCAAATTGATCATACGGACGCAACGGCTGAAGCAAAATCAATTGAAATGGGTCCAAAATTATTTTCAGATTTCAGTTGATCGATGAAATGTGTGGCAATGTAAACAAAATCTTTGGATTGGATGATGCTTCCAAGCTTTCAGTCATCGGCTACGGTTTTTAATTCTGGTTTGAGTTCAATTCAGAAAAAAATGTAAGAGTAATGGTTTGTACAATGCTACTTTTTTTAAGAACAAACCTTTCACCGATCTAAGATTTTTTCTGTTGGCAGGATTTTATTGTACATTTCTTCTTGTATGACGATTTATGTCATTAAGTGTGTGAACAAGTGCTACCATTTGCTGAATGGAAGCAATCTTAATCGATTTGTCAATTATTGAAAAGTATAAAACTATTTAAAATAACTCGAAGTGATCCTATTTGAATTGTTCAACATGCATGTAATTAGTCCGGATGGAGCTATGAATGCATAGGCAAGGGCCTTAATGATATATGTCATTTTCTGTGGGAAATTATCTTGATTTTATCGATTTTACATTTGCAGATAGAGACATTAGTGCAACCAAATAGTTACTGTCTTATTTGTTTCCACATCAAAAGAATCCGTTTCATTAACGATGGGATTTTTCTGAAAACATGTTTTGAATTTTCTAAAAACTTCTAATAGCATGGGAATGGTCATTGGTCATTACCTGCATTCTAGTGTTTATTCAATTCACACAAATGTATTAATTGTGTTTCATTTTTGCGATATGTCGTTGTTTTCTCCAAAGTATTTTTCTACTTGAATCCATAGTTGAATGAAATAACCGTTCGGTCTAGTTTAAAAAATGAAGCAAACGTGGATTTTCAAATATTTCAGTTTATTTGGTTTTCATTCGATGGCTTCTATGCGAATTGGTGGGGAATATGTAAAGTTCATAATACTTTTGAGCCAATTGGCTGTGTTCAGTTGGTATTTCATCGATATTGTAACATATTTACCGTTTCTATCAGTTTATATGGGCTATTTAGATGCAATGAATATGTTCGCATACAACATTGCTGCTTGTTTGGCACTTTTACTCATCATTTATGATTCATGCACAAAAGGAAAGACTCAAAACGTCTTTGGCCGAAACCTAACCGAAGCAAACGTTAAATATTTCGCTGAAATGAAGATTTTGAATTGGAATTATTTGATTGTGTTGACTTTGCTAGTGATTGGTGCCTCTTTCGATTGTTTATATGCAATTTTACTGTACGATCATTTTAATCGAATTCATTACAATCTTATCTACTATTTACTTACCACCGTTTCGGATAATCGTATATTTTTCTACGTACTCCATTTACGAGTAATTATTGTTCAACTACAGGAGATCGAAACCAAGCTCAAATTCATGCGAAAGCAAACATTCAATCATGATCAATTGAAATTGATACAAGATTACAACCGATTGACATATGAAATGTGCGAGAATATAAACGAAATCTTCGGATTATCGCATTTGGCATTGATTTTATTGAGCTTCCAGTCTTCAATTACAATCTTAAATTCCGCTTTTCGTTCGAATCAGAAGCGATTCGATTTCTTAAATTATGGTTTGTTTTTCTATTTTTAAAATTGATTTCATGGTAACGAACATATGTTGATTTCTTTGTATTCTAGATCTGTTGATAATTAGAGGGTATTTCATCATATTTCGAGTTATAATTCATTTGGGTTTTATTTTTAAATATGCGAATGTTTGCAAGAATTTGGTAAAGTCAAAATAAAATTGAGCTTAAACTTGATTTTGAATTTTTTTCAATAATTTGATTGAGATTCTCTATCTATTGTAGCCTGAAATGATCCTGTTTCAATTGTTTAACATGCACACAGTTACCCATTCCAATGAAAACTTGAATCGACAGGCAAAACGAATTTAATTATGAAAATATAACTCTTCTAGCTTATCAGTGTTTGTTTATTTGCAGATTGAGGCAATGGTACAACAAATTAATTGTTGTCCCATTCGCTTCCATACGAAAGGCATACTCTTTATTGATATTGAAACACTCCTGAAAGTATGTGTTTAGCGCTTATGAACACGATGAATTAATTTACAGATACTATTCGCTTTTATTTTCAAATTTTTACAGCTTTCGCGATTGGTCGTCACTTGCGTTTTGTTATTCATACAATTCACACAAATGTACTGATCACCCGAAAAGCTAGGTTGTTTTGCTCATGGCGAATGTAATGGCCGATGACATCTTTTCATCCAATTAATTGAAAAATGCACTAATAAACCACCATAGGGTGACAGCATCAACAAAATTCAAATTGGCGCGCTGTTTAGTTCAGAAAAAATTACGAAATTACATTGATTTGCCTATTGAAATTGAGGGCGCTTGCGTCGCCACAATTCTCATTTAAGTTATTTTCGGTCTAAGCTGCGACCCCGTTGTAAACGACTAGCATTACTAGCAAAAAATAATATTTCATTTGTATGAAAATTCAAATGTATCCTATAAAACACTTGTTAAGATTCAAGTGTGAAACAATCAATGTGTATTACGTTCGATGACTCACAATCATATATCAGGCAACTTTTTTGGAAGCTAAAAAATATCATTTGTGAGTGTATTGAATAATTCAGTCTACAAAAATGAAAGAAAAAGCAAAAATTTCGATTCCATTTAGCTTATTAAAATGGTCATTAAGTTCAATTATTATACGTATTCAATTGTATATATTTATGACTGATTGGAATCATCAATAGAATCGCATCTATTAATCCCATTCATCAGCATAAAAATAATTGTTGATAAACATAAAGTGGTTCACTGAGATGAAAATGAATATAGAATTTGATAAGCAATTGAATCACCTTGACGAAGATTCTGTTGGTTTGCATTAAAAAAATGATTATCATATATTGATTGTATAAATCCTGTGCAATTGTAAAATACAATTCAAATCGATTCAGTATTGACGAAGTCGTTCATATATTGAAAGAGAAAATGGGAAACCTCCCAAAAAGGATTACTTACATTCTGAAATACTTTAGCCTGTACAGTTTCGATACGATGTCGGCTGAAAAGAAATCCTTTCGTATTTTAACACTCTCATTTCAGATGGGTTTGGCTGCTTGGTGCACTTTCATTGTATTTCAGTCGTTTGCGGAATTAATAGGCATTATGGAACGTTTAGACGTATTGAATTTCTTCATATACTACGTAAACCATAATCTATCATATTGGTTGATCATTTACGAAGCATATACATATCGAGCGGAAGTGCGAAAGTTTTGGCGTCTTTTGATTCAAATTAACGATCATTACTCCAGTCAAGCACAGTTCAAACCAAAATGCTATTTACTTCTATTAATCGTAATGCCATTCGTAGATGTAACGTTCTATACGTTTGCAATTTTCAATGAACAGGCATCTCGAGCAGTGCAAAAAATTATGATGTTCACTTTCAATACGATTTCTTTTAATCGTTTAGTTTTTTATTTACTTCATTTGAAAGTGATTGAGTTTCAATTGCAGAAAATTGAAATCGGGTTGAAGAATATCAGTAAATTTCAGCAATACTATTGTACTAATATTCGAAACTATTACGGCATCGTCTATGAAATGTCCATGCTTGTGAATTCAATGTTTGGCTGGTCACAACTTGCATTTGTTCTACTAAATTGCCACTGTTCCATCACATTCTTGAACTTCTTCTATCGACAAATGAATCGGAAATTCATTGGGTTTGATTACGGTTTGAATAATTTCATACTTAAGAATGAATCGTAATTCTTTCAAATCACTGAATTTATTTCAGACGTCTTACTTGTTGCTACCACTTATTCGATCGGTCGAAATGTATACACATTCTTTTATTTAAGTAAATGTGCGAAGGATTGCTATACTCGGGTAAAATTGAAAGAAATGAATGAATACATTGAATAAAGTTTTTAAAAATTGATTTTATTTTTTGGCCTAGGATAAATCGGTACGATTTCAACTATTTCATACTCCAACAAGTCTATCAGATGAAGAAATTTATCGACAGGTGAAAATATGAAACTTAATGAATTTCATGTTACCCGTTATCTGTGCAGAGAGAACAGTCAAATTGAAAATGAACATTTTTTTTCTGAATTTTACCAATGCAGATCGAGGTCACAGCACACCAAATGAATTATAATTCCATTCGATTTTATGCTAAGGGTTTTTTTGTGATTAACACTGGCACCTTCATTAAGGTATATGCCAATGAATGGCATTCGTTTATCGTTTTATCAAAATCTTCTACTTTTATTCAGCTTATTGGACTCGTCGTAACTTGTGTGGCATTTTTCATTCAATTTGCACAAATGGACTTCAATTGATAAATAAGTTGGATTTTTATTCGATAAATTGAGTTGATAAGAAGCCACGGTACTAAACGACGTTCAGTGAACGTAAATAAGTCATTGAATTCGTGCTACAATTTACCTTAATGTGATGTAAACAAATGCACTGGATGACATTTACACGAATGGGAATTTGAATTTGATTGTCTTTCTTCTTCACTACTTTTGTTCTTCTAATTTATGAATTCAATCATCAAAGTCATCCATCACATGTTTTTATCAGTTCTGATCAACATAACAAAACAGAAAATTAGAAAAGAAAAATTGTTGTGATCTGATATCTGCTATGCCATGTTATTGATTAATTGGTCAAATGTGTAATGTAATGGGTTTAATAGATAACATTTCTTTTTAGAATATTTACAAGGTTCATTTATGCGACATAGTCTCTTATAAAACATTCGATTAAAATCAAAAGCAAATAATGCACACTGTTATCAAGTGTGTATTCAATTTGGTGGAAGTAACTTCATTTGAATCTAACTCATAAAATGTGTTGTAACACAGAGCGCTGATAAATATTACGCTTTCATTTGCCTACATCGTCGCACTTTAAGTTCAACATGTTCTCGATATGGATAAAATTGTTGCTAATTTTTTTTTACATTTGTGGATTTCATACGGAGACATCGAATTCCAAACGAAGAACATCACTGAACAACTTTATAATCCACATTATTTGGGCGAGTACTTTGACAATCGTCCTCATTTCTGTTTCAAGGCAGCCGATAATTCTAACCGAAGCTTTAGCCTATTCGGCTAACTATTTGCTGCAAATTGTGAATGGAATGTTTACGTATTGGGTCATCATTGTAGAATCATATGTTCAACGGAAGGATCAGCGAAAATTTTGGCAAATTTATAGACAAATCGATGGTTATCGCAAAATCATTGGCTCAATTCTGCGAAAATACTCGATTAAATTCATTCATTTTTTTGTTGTCATCACAATTATTCAAACGTACTTTGTGTTATACTTTTTATCTGTTAACGGAAACGATTTCATATTCTTTCGAATTGCGTATTTTTGCTTTGTGGCGATGTATCAGTACCGTACTTTCTACTATTTACTTTATTTGGAAATCATTAAATACGAATTGAGAAAGATTCAAAAACGATTGCAAAAATTGGTCATCAGACCATCGCGTTACCAAACCGATTATAGAATTGCAAAATCGGTAAAAAATTTCAATCAATACTATGGAAAAATTTATGCAATGAGCGAATGTATCAATCAAATCTTTGGCTGGTCAAATTTTACAACGATCTTGTATTGCTTCCATATGCCGCTAACTGATTTTAATTGGGCCTTACAGGCAATGCAGGAGCAAACGAATGAATATTTCATAGGTAATCAATATTAGAATTCATTTGTTAAATCGTTTTTCAAGTTTTTTTCCTTCAACTTTTTAGTTTTTATCATTTGGATGATGTATCTTTTGTTGATAATACATTACATTTTTAAAAGCACCACTGACTGCCGGATAATGGTGGGTTTTTCCAACTACTTATTATATGATTTTGTTCCAAGTTTTCCATGATTTGTTGATAAAAATGGTTAATTTTCTTACAAGTCTCAACAAATTGTCTATCACTTGAGTGGAATTGGTTTCAGGTGTAAAAAAAACTATTCATTAGCACAGGTATACTTTTTCAGTTTTGAAGCTTTATTTTTGCTTTATGTGAAAAGTAGTTTAAAATATCGAGCAACTTGTTCGCATATCTTGAGCATACACCTCGTATAAGAACCAAATTTTCTTGTGGCGCCATCTAGATGGCTTGCGGGGCGCAATGTATTTTAAATTGTTAGCTAAGTTTTTTCAGCTTAGTACAGAACCATTTTTGGCAAAGATACAAAAGCATGCTCGAGGTATGCTTGTTCGATTCAATAATCATTTACTCTTCTAGATTGAAGCTCTAATGTTATTTATTCGCAAGTATCCCATATATTTCCATGCTAAAGGACTATTTCGGATTAACAACGAAACTCTTTTCAGGGTAATAAGAAGAATATCTAAAAATTGTCTACTCTAAACACATTGTTTTGTTGTAGTTAATGGGCGCGATATTAAAATATGTCATATTTTACGTACAGTTTATGGAAATAAATATATGGTGCATTTAAAAGAACATCTGGGAATTAGCTTTTGAACAGTTATGAAAGTTAATGCAAATGCATTTGAAATGTTTACAAAATACGACACTCACAATTCCAATAGCTGACACGACCTTAAAATTGCAAGGTTTACTTCTGCGTTGTATCATGTTTTCAGAGTGATTCAATTGTTGCTAAGAATGTTACACTGAATTAAGACACCTTAATGAGATGTTGCTATTATCGTTAACATAAAATTTATATAATTATTCATTATTATTATTATTATTGATGGGCCTGTCTGTTTACAATCAAGGAAAATTTCATCACTAAGATCAAGGTCGCTTTCTTCGTATACAAATACATGGGAAAGATTTGACGTAAGACGCCAAGACGCTTCTACGCGTGGAATGCTCGAAGCTGTTATCGTACACATATTGAACACGAACATTGTCGTTTACACAATCGCACTCGCACAAATGAATGCATCGATAGTGCCCGCTCAATATATGTACGATGACTGTTTTGAGTGTCCCTCGCCTAGAGGGCTGCGTGTCATTTTTCTTCGTTTATTAAGCGATCTTGCTAATATATTGCTTTGAAATAAATGGAAAACATTCGTTATCTCTTAAATAAAATTAATTCCAATTCTAATGTGCACACAAATGACAACAATAGCATTTTGGCCAAGGTAAAACCATTCGAAACAAATGGTCTAACAGGTGCAATTACAGAGAAGAGTACTGTTGGACGAATTCCACATTCATTTCACTTTATTTTTCTTGTGTGTGCAGTTCAACATGTTCTCGAAATGGATCACATTCTTACTTCAATTCTTTGATTTTTGTGGATTTTGTACGGAAATTTGCAGTTTAAAATCGCATCGAAAACGTGATCTCCACATATTTGTGTGTCATTTTCTTTGTGCATTCACTCTGACCGCTTTTGTGATTGAATTTTCGATGCAGCCAATAGTTTTAAATGATGTATTGCCATCCATTGTGAATAATGTGTTGCAAAACACGGTAGGAATGTTTGTATATTGGGCTATCATTGTTGAATCCTATTCTAGACGAAGAAGTCAAGAAAGATTCTGGCATCTATATCAACAATTTGAAGCATTTCGGATAAATTGTAATAATTCTTGGCTACGCAATTATTCCATTAAACTAATTGAACACTCAGTTATTGTATTACCAATTCTACTGTATCAGATGCAATATTTCATTTTCTTTGTGGGCAACTATTTCTTTTTTCGTGTCGCCTATTTATTTTCCTGTGCAATCTATCAATACCGCGTGTTTTACTATTTATTTCATCTGGAAATCATCAAATATGAATGTGTTCGAAATAAATTACAAAATTTAGTGGTATCACGTAATAATATTGGATGTGATTCCATTGATGCAAATATCAATGTGAATGATTTAAAAAGTTTCAATCAGTACTATCAACTGATTTATGAGTTATGTAAATGCATGAATCGAGTCTTTGGCTGGTCAAATTTTACGACGATTTTATTTTGCTTTATCCTCCCACTCACCGATATAAATTGGGCATATTTGGCTCTTTCGAAACGAAAGGTGGAATATATTGCTGGTATTGATTTAATTACAATAGAATCAACTCAAGTATCCATATAATGGGGTTATTTGCGTTACAGTATTCACAATATGGATGATGCACTTGGCCCTAATCGTATTCTATATCTTCCAAGGAACAACCATGTGCAAAATTGAGGTACAATTTGCGAATTAATTTTTTGATTTCCTTTTGTCAATCGTATTTTTCTTCAAGGTTCAACGTATTTTCTATCAACTAAGTCAAATTAGTTTTGATATCGATGATGACCCATCGTGGGCACAGGTAAATACTATGGTTTTCATTCCAAAAAGCTTGTGTTTCATTGAATATCAAAGCCGAAAAAGTTTTTATTTGCCAAAAAGAGAAGCTCATTTAAAGAAGACTGTGACTGAGTGAGTAGACTGATGGTACGATTTTAATACGTAGAGTCTACAGCTTTCAGTGATGAGGAGTCACGTCCTTCTTTCAAGAAAAAGTCCAAATATTTGTTTCGAATTGCTTTCTTTTTATTCAATAAATCAATTCAGATGGAGACCGCAATGTTACAAATATCGAAAAATCCAATCGTATTTCACACAAAAGGTCTATTCTGCATCAGTAATGATACACTGTTAAATGTAGGTAAAAGAATTGACTAATAATTTGGTGCTCTGTACAACTGTGTATTTATTTGAAATGAATCATTTTTTTGCTTTTCAATTGCAGCTGTTAAGTGCGATATGTATGTACACGTTATTCTATTTACAATTCATGCAAATGTATTCATGGCAATCCGCCAAAGTTTAAATCGCTAACAATGTCTTGTTGCTGTGAGAAGTAGAATGTTATCAATTCTTCAAACCAATTGATCCGATTCGAATTGAACAAAATGCAAAACAAATAACTGTGAACTCACTTTTAAACGCGCAATAAAATGAAACTTCTCAACCAATTAGGAAATGTTGTAATAATCAATTACTAGCATATCTGTAAAAAAGCAATGAATTATGAAGTTAATTTTAAAAAAAATGATGATGTTAATGTTAACAATCGGATTAATCGGATCGAAAAATCGTCGTTGCTATGACATTTTTTGTGGTTAAACTATGCATTCAGTTCTATGCTGCTGCATTCAAAAGTACATTTGTTTGAATTCCGTTGCCTATGGTTCGTCAAAATGTTCTCTAAATTCATCATATTTTTGCTCAAATTCTTTGATTTGTGTGGTTTTCAAACTGAAACCGCAAAGTTCGTCGGGTCTCCAAATAGAACAATGTGTATCTTTGCGGTTCATTGTGTTTGTGCATTTGTATCGTCCTATTTTGTATTCGGATATGCCACGGAACCGCTAATACTGGGCGAGGTGTTGCCATATTTCGTAAACGAAATGTTTCAAATCATGAATGGGATGCTAACGCAGTGGGTGATCATCATCGAATCCTACATTCAGCGAGATATTCAGCAACAGTTTTGGAATATTTACAAATACATTGACACACATCATGTGAATTGCAAGAAGTCATCGCTGCGGGCCTACAAGATGAAATTTATTGAGTTCTTCGGTGTTGTGACCATCATTCAAATAATATTCATGTGTTACTTCACTCATTATGTGGGAAACTATTACTTTTTCCGAATTGCTTACCTTATTTCACAGGTTGTGTACCATTATCGTGTGTTTTACTACCTATTTTACTTGGAACTAATTAAATTTGAGCTTAAAGCAATAAAAATAGAATTGAAAATCATCGTAAAAATTATACAGCGAAATGAAAATGACTCCAACGCGGAGAATTTCAACGTCAACTGTCTCAAAAGAATCAATGCTCATTGTCAACTGATTCTCGAGCTGAACAAATGCATCAATCGAATCTTTGGCTGGTCAAATTTTACAACGATTTTGTATTGCTTCCATATGCCACTGACCGATTTTAACTGGGCATTGTGGGAGCTGCATCAGAGAACAACGACCTACATCTTAGGTATCGATGGAAATCTTTTTTTGCTTACAAGCGAGAAATCAATTGATTGAAATTTAAAATTTTCAGTTTTCACAATATGGATAATACACTTAGCAGTGATTATTGGCTACCTTTTTCATGGGACTCACAACTGTCAAATTGTGGTAAACGATTGTTTGTTATTTTTTTAATGTTTTTTTTTAACAGATAAATTTGGAATTTTTAATACCAATGCATGCATTTTATTAATAGAAACAAAATTCCCGTATTTTATTTCAAGATCAAACAAATTGTGTTTTATTTGAATGAAATGAATATCAACTTTGACAATGAGTCTGCTTTCAAACAGGTATATTTATTGGCATTGAAAAAGTTTATCTGTGAACAATTTGGACGGCTATAGTTGAATCGAATTAAAAATGCTGATTCTTACTTCGCATTTTGATGGAAATATGCATAAAAGCATATAAGTTGAAACCACCTAAACATTTTATTGGGCATTAGGACTCTTTTGAACTATTTAAATTTTTTTTTAATTAATCGAATTTATTTTGATTCAGATTGAAGAAATGATGTTGTATTTAACAAACAATCCGCTCAATTTCCATGCAAAAGGACTTTTTCAAATTGATAATTATACACTTTTGAAGGTAAATACTATTTGTGAATAGTATAATAGATTTTTTACCAATTTTTACTCCAAATGTGCATTTGTTTCTTTCCAGTTGATCGGTGCAATATTGGCTTATTAAATATTCTTCGTACAGTTTACACAACTGTATTGTTCCACTTTATATGGTGGATGCGCCATCTAGAAGTTAGATTCTAGTCTGGTTAATGTATTCGTGAATATCAATTGATTAGAATTTCTGGTTGTATTTGCATTTTCACCCATTTATTTACAATGCTTTCGAATATGCAATATGCTATTCGCATTCGATGAATCTAATTCATTGAAAAATTACTCAAATTCTTGCTTTATAACTTTTTCCATGCACTTAGATTGAAGCCGTTATGTTGCACATAACCAAACATCCAATTGTTTTCCATTCCAAAGGATTTTTCACCATTAGCAGCAGAACACTGATAAAAGTGAGAGAAAATAATGTCATATTTGATTTTTGAGACAACGAAAATTGTTTTCAAATATTTCAACACCATTCTTTTCAGATGATTGGCGCAATTATGGTTTACATGCTATTCTTTGTGCAACTCAAGCAATTGCTTATTAATTGATCTGTTTTGCGCAGTAATTGGTCACCTTCAGAGAAGTATTTTGCAACATACATAATAGCAAGACATTATCAACTTGATAAAGGAGAGAAGGGAAAACTGCCGCTAGTTCTAAGAAATGCACCATTCAATGATTGTCTATTTTAGAACTAGAATTAAACAAAGTTTTACACCAAAATTCGCACGTGTTTCAATACATATTCCATTTAGTTTCGTATATATATTAGTTGACGTCATCCTCATCGCGATTTCTCCGATTCTCCGTCGTATTTTTGTTCAGCCACAAATAGGATAAACCGAATCTAAATATAAACATAAAAAACGCCATGATCTATGCAATACGGTTCATTTGACTTGGTCTCATCGTTAAGCATAGCAGCAAACCAATCCACAGCAACCAACGCGAATGAAACGTGTCGTACAAACGAATACGGAAACGAATTCGAAAAATAAATTGTTGCTAGTATCGAGGCGGCTAGACGCTTCATATACATCACCGTTGCTCTGTGCATAGTGACAAGCTCAAACTCACATCGAGAGAGTGTCATATCATGTGTGAGCATGATAGACCTTGTAATTTATCACGGCCATGGTCAAATTTTTCAATGAAACCCCGTGCCGTTTGTATGCTTTGTGTATACATACACCGAGTTGATTTGGAGGCCGCCACACAGTTTACATGGCCCGCATTTTCATGGTGAAGGTAAAACTGAAATCGAAAGTTTTTGTAGGCCATGACTTCCACACAAAAAAAAAACACGGACAAAAGAGAAATCGTTCCGATTTACTGGTCTACTTGAATGTGCCGAAAAAAAAATAGACGAAATCGAAAGTGAAACTGTCTTCGAAGTAAACTGAACAAAAACATCGGTCTGTTTTTGAGCCACTGCAGCCATTTTCAGCGTCAAAATACGACAGTAGCCACTGTTTCACTGCACAAATAAAAAAAATGCGATAGAAATCGAAAGTGAAAGACAGACCGTGCACCTGACAATGATTTTTGTATAGAATCTAGTAATAGGCGTTCATAAGTTGACGCATGGCCATCGCATGCGATTCGCAAACTCGTTTCGAACGAACGAACGAAACGAGCAAAGCAGACACAATATAGACAACACAGGCGTCCGTTCCGTTCCGTTCGATTGTTCATGGTTTTGTTGTTTTGCTTTTGCTCTCTTGGTGCTGTCGTTTTTTTCGCTCTTTCCACTACGGTTCGATTCGCTGCACCACACAAGCACCAGTGCGAATTCATTGGTGGCGATCGTATAGTCGAACACTCGAGCTGCTCGTTCAGCCAAGTATCTGGAGAAAAAAAAATATTTTCGGCTTGAATTCGAAAAATGTTTTACAAGTTTTAGCAACGAAATACCAAGGATTTTATGAGTAACTTAACGATCAGGTTGACATGAAATGATGCATACAACAAACGAAACGTTTTGAATGCCAAGCACAATCGGGGAATGTCATGAGACTGCTATCGCCTCTACACCAACAACACAGTTGAAATGAACGCAAAACCAAGAGCCGTGTATGAAAGCCATACGGTTTCGTCGGGTCGTTTATAGATGGCACACCATTCTTCTGCTGGTTTTACGAGCAAATGAATGAAACGGAATATTTTTGTACGGTTTTTGAATGAGGCATTCAGCAGTGGCAATGAAGTAAGACCCAAAGACGATACGATCCGGTCCGTATGTATGTCTTATTATTGCTGTGGCCCGCGAATACTAGATGTAGATGAGCAAATGTCAGAGACACCGACGACGGTGAACGTCTTTTACGGCCAGCTGTCGCTGACTTTGACTACACAAATCGTGCACTAAAAATGGCGGCAGCACTTTTAGTAGTGGCATGATGACTTTTTCTCTGAAACAATTATCCGGCTCCCATGATACGCAGCACCGAGTATTTCGTCGAACCGATACCCATTGCTTCTCCATGCATTGAGTCTCTCTCACAACGACTCGGCCACTTTGTCGTACACACAAGAAGCTCAGCTTATTTATACACGCAATGGAAACAGCGCTGCGTTCAACAATGATACTACGAAATGGAAGCGACCGACATACTGTTGTGAAATAATCATCATTATTATTTAGTGTAATGGCATTTATTCGTCAGTACTTGGATTTAGCATACACTTTCATGTGAATTTTTTCAGTTTTTCTTTAAAATAATTGACACCATTAACGTAGTTTCGCAGTAGTGATGAATTTTCGACTAAATCATGTATCAGGCGGTCATAATACCGTGCATGCATCCATTCCCCGTCAACGTTACGAACAGGCAGAGCGAACGGAGAGATTTGTATGTTCAGTTGTGTATATATACATGTTGTTGTGAATTGGTAGCAACAGCGTTCGACTGATACTTCACACACAGCAAACAGTTGAGTGAGTGTGTTGCCTTTTGTTCATACATCGATTCCGTCTCTCCACCTCTGACGACATACGTAGCGAGGGGAATATGTGTGTTCATATTCGAAACAAGCTAGGCTACTGTGTGTTTCGCTCCAAATGTTGTTGCTCACATTGTTATTCGTGTGTTACGTTTTAGATTTCGATTCTTCATGCTTCATGATGGTTGTTGGTCTGGTGTGAACGCCAAGTGAAAGATGTATGCGAAAAATGGTTTTCCCAATTTTTCATTGTATGATGCCGTCGACACACACAACACACACACGATGAAAACATGTTCGAAAAGTTTATATGGCCATAACATACGCATGTTGTCAGAGTATTGTCATAGGATAAATAAACGCATCGAAATCATTTCGAATCTTAAATGTCTGAGTCGCGAATGGTGTCATTGTGATGGTTGTTCTGTAGATGTTTCGACCAGAACAACATAATTATTTGGATGTAGATCACACCGAATTTTTGCGCGCGCTCTGAATCGAATGTCAGAGGGATGCGTTTGCCAAGTTGATGAATGAACATGAACAAAAAAGAATATACACATCCGTCACATGCACGGGCCCAATTACGTACACACAATATTTTCGTGTTGTGTGTTGAATGCGTACAACGTTTCGCGATGTGTATATCGCATGACAAGAACCTTAATGCGTAGACTTTGCTGTAAAAAATCATTCGAAGAACCATCGAACGAAGGAAAATCAAAATTTACGCACAATTTCATTTTGTTGTTAATATGCAAGTAAGATGTTCACTTATTATAAACACTCGATTAATGTGGGGTCGTCGTTGTCGTTCAGCTGTGCGGTTCAACGAGCGAAATCGGCTCATCGGCTTTACATTTTCTACGAAAAAATATACGCAACGCGTGACGTGTACTTCTTTCGATTGCTGCTTCTCAGACACACATCAATTTTAGCACGTATATAACGTTATCGGAATTGGCGCGTATCAGGCGGGATACACAGCATCATTCGTACAACACAAAGCGAAGCGTGAGCGCAACCATATGTACGTAAAATAATTGTATAGCCGTTGTCGTTGTCGTCGTCGTCATCACCAGAACGCGCGTGAGCTCATTGTGCTCACACTTCTGGCAGCCTGTTCGAAAATTTCACTGAAAATGTTCACTTTTCTTCGAAAGCAATCGAAAAGTGATTCTTTTCCCTTCTCCAACGGAAAAAAAATCTAAATAAAAAGTGTCGGTTTTCGTTTTTACTTTGTCTACATTTTGTGCCGTTTTCTCCCGCCGTCAGTCAAACCACGGTTGTTGACGGCGCTGCCGTCGTCGGTTGATAGGCAATGTTGCGTGGCTGTGATCACAATACAAGTAGCGGTTCGTGTCGTTTGTGACAACAGCACACATATGAGAGACTCACAAACCGAAACAACGTACAGAAAACAACGAGAGTGTGTAGAGTTCAGTCACAGCGTTGAACATGGTCATCGAACCTATACGAATACATTCGGTCCAACATCTCAACGTTGATCACCAAACGACTAGTCATCGCATTCTGAGCGCCTATTCATTTACCTTAAAACTTTAACCATAGATGCAAGAAGATGCAAAACTAAACCGCAAGCTTTTCGAAATAAAGTCTGGCGAATGTTGAGTTTAGTATGAATTAAGCGTGAAACACAAAGTAAAAAACCGCGTATTAGCTCCTGACGAGTCGGTGAGCGAGACGTTCATTTCGAATCGTTTTGCCGAGAAAACGTGCCGAGAGATTGTGCCGAGAGATTGTGCCGAGAAATACAAGCTGATGCCGGTGCTGTTGTTGTTAATAGAAGGGAAAATGATGTGTTGCTATGCTATTTGTCCTTCTAAATTCTGGTCTCTTGGTGGAAAATCGAAATTGAACTAATAGGTTAGCAAGAATACTGCTGAATATTAGCTTAATATTTTTTATTAAAAGTAATAAGTTTCGACTTTTTGCCGTCGCATTTGATTGTTTGTGTCACTGAACGTAATGCTCCTCATAAAAAATATATTCATAGTATTAAATTTGTTTCACTACCTGTTTGGCCACTTCGGCAAAGGGGCATTCAGAGTCGAATTCCCTTTTTTCTGTATGTGATATGAACTGTTTTGTATGATGAAGAGAAAGGGAAATATCGACGAAAAAGTGGCACTCTCTCACACCAGTCGCTTCAGTTCAGCTCGAACACAGCATTGTGTGTGAGGAGCGTTTGTGCGCATTTGACTTTGTATAAACAACAAGCACACAGACACAAGCGCTTCTATTTCGAATAAATTCAAACGTATGAGTGCACACAAACGCTACTCAATTTACCGAAAACACGAAACACTGTGTGCTGGCACTTCTGAACGCCTGTTCATAATATTGAATATTGCACCGCCGCAGTGATTGTGCAAATGAAAAAAACGCGATTTTTTTTAGAGAAGGAACAGAAACATCTACCGCCACTACCGATTTTCTACGTGGAGAGGAGAGCCACATTCACGATTTCATCGAGAGTGGGGCCGCACAAAACGCACAAACATTCATTTTGCTATGCCGATATATTCATCTTTTTTGTATATTCTTGCGCGCCAGCGAGAGAGTGGTTCATTTGAATGAACAAAAGAGCAACGAATTTGTCGAAACACACAACCGACGAACAATGAAAGAAAAAAATTGTGCTCGTTATCACTCATCAAGAAAAACGAAGAGTGGGATACGCAGAAACGAAAAAAACAATCGGAGAAATAGTTGCCACAAGTCGCCTCTCCTTAGTGCTGAGCTTCCATTCGAACACACTGCATTTCATTGTTCAAAAATTCATTTGATGCATGAGAATCGGTTGGCAAAGCGTGAAATTGGAAATAATTATTTTCAATATTTTAAACTAGAAATTCATAATTTTTTCTAAAAAATGAAATTAAAAAAATCTGCATAAAATTCGCCATAAAATCATCCATTACAAAAAAACCATTCTCAAAAATCGTTTTGCACGCCAAATAAAACCGTTCCACCGTTCATCGAAAACCGATCGGCAACGCACAGAAACGAACAAAAAAAAATCACGCCCGCCAAACTGAGCCAAAACCCGTTTCGCTCCGAAAAGCGCATCGCTGTCAAAATTTAAAGTAATACAAAGTACTGTACTGTATCAGGAGATCATCAAAATCAGATGCTTAAATTCACGACGTTTTTGTCAAGTACTTGAACACTTGAACGTGTACATACATATTCTTCACGTCTGCTGGTTGTGTTGCCGTTGTTTTTTTTTTCATTTGCTTCTCATTACGCGTGTACTGTCTGTGTGTTTTTTTCCACGTTTTCATATCGTCGCAGTGTGCTCGGTTTCGGGTCGCTCGTGTTTTTTTATTTTCCTCTTACTACATTGTCTTCGACGCCAAGCCATTGAGCATATTGTGTACAACATGTTAACGTTTTCGGGATTGAAAGTGGAGTAAACGAAAGAAGCGAGATAGCGAACGACGGCGCGACAACCACAACCGTACCAAACACGACGATGAAACGAAAGACAGAGAGAGACACAGAGAGAGAGAGAGAGAGAGAGAGAGAGAAAAAAAAATGCTGATGATGTCGATGAAACGAAAACGGCTGTGAAATAACCGTCGATGGTTCAATTGCACTTACATGCTTACATGTATACATTTACTCCGTCACATTCCCGTACTGTTTGTCAGAACGGCAGACGCGGGCGCACATACACACTGTGTGTGAAACCGTGACAAATCAACGAAAGAGAGTATTAAACAAACCAGGCGATGTGTACAAAATGTGTTTACAATGGCCTTTTCCACACACACACACTCTCCCCGACCCAACGTGTGTGTACAACGATTTTTATGCGACAACAATTTCATATTCGATAATAAAATCTGGACTAGAGTCGATGACCCTTGACTGAGAGGAAAATAAAAAAAGAAATCCTATCAAAACTAAAAAGGAAGAAAAAAACAAACAATTTTCGAATATTCGATTCCTTTATTTACAAAGATTTTTTTTTCTTGCTGTATCACATAATTAGAGATCTGTTTGTTGTAGTCTTGATTGTAGAATTAAAATAGAAATTTGCTTTAAAATTCGTTATTCTGGTGTATGGAGCAGGCGTCTTTTTGGTTTGTTGCATTGAACAGGGTAAAATAATCATCGTGAATGAAACGTATGATATTTTCAATTGGACATAGATCGGCTTTGTTGCCTCTGGCATTTTTGTTAATTCGTAGACTTCGGCCACCTTCACAAAACTCAATCATTCGTGTTATATCTTGGCCATTGATAATAACACGAAAATAATACTCCGTATTATCGTCGTTGCTCGCATCACTTTTATAGATTTCAAACGCAATTCGCGACGCATACGGTATAAAATAGGACATTTTCGGAAGTTGATCTTTTTCACCCGTTGGTTTGTATATACCTAATGCGGTCAACAGAAACTGAAACGTTCGATCATGGCCCGAATATAGAACGAATTTAACTTTATCACCGGAAATTATCCTCAGCATATGAGAGACAATATTACGAATGAGGCCATAGGCACGCAGTAAACCTTGTTGTCGTGACAATTTGTGTTTTGCTTCCCTTTTGCCTTGCCATTGAGTGTATGACATTAAAGCGGCGACATGGCTTGCTTCAACACAACCTTCTATTTCCGGTTCAACTGAGTCGGAATCGGGATCAACGATACGATTCGATTGACTGTCACCTTGAACTACATTCGGCCCATTGTTCACATTGTTATCTTCTTGGTCAATGTTGATTAAATCATTCGATTCGGTTGTTGTGGCGGCTGATGTTCGGTCATTATCCGTAGTTCCCATATAATCGGATGTAATTCGCCGGCATGGCAATGGTGCGTTATGGCAAACTAATGATAAAATAGCATCGCGCACTTCAAGCGGTTGCATTCGTGGCGTTGGATTTTGTAACACATTATATCCAATCCATTGAACGACCGCAGCAATTGTTGGATGTTTGTTCAGCTGCTTGGCGAATTCCTTGGCGAGTAAATTATTTAGTTGATCGGCTCTGGGGCATGCACAATCGGCAAAACAAAATGCCAACGAATGACTTTCCTGCAAATTTAGCGATAGCCAACGTTCCGGTAGAAAGGCATACATCAATGCCATTGCTGATTGAAATGTACGACGATAACGTGTTGAATAAATGATAATTTCTTCGGGCGGATATGCCGCCTGGGTTTGTGTTGTGTTTGAAAGTTTTGGCATTGCAAGCGGTTTCGTAAGCAAACCCAATGGATGTGCGTACACTTGACGCAAAAGATCACCGACTTGAAGCATTTGTGCAATTCCATTATAGGTCAACTGGCCGAGTAGACAGGCTTTCGAAAAGGCAGGCAACAATGGAAAATTGTGGAATGGTCCATTCTTATTGAAAATATAATGACCAGCCGGAGCATTTGCCGTGGTATTTAGGAGAAATGTGCGATATTTATTGAGAAGAACATTAGTTTGACGACCAGCACCACAATCAATCGATGAAATTCCACGCACATGAGCCATTGGGCCACGGTCACCATGACGAGTTAACATTAAAACACCTTGCAATTTCCATCCATCCAAAATGCCACCGTCATCTTTTCGCACAATTGACCGATACGGATTGCAATCAGTTTGCAGTTTCTTCAATTTGGTCACTTCATCCTCGACCGCAAACGGCTGATACTGGTGCACATTGAATATTGACTTTGAATCTGCAGTGCTAATGTATTTGTACATTCCTGAAATCAAAAGAATATATTGTATTTAATGAGTGTTTACAGAAAACTCGTTTCGAATCGACTAAAAGTAATGAAATGAAATAAATAATCCAATAAAATGATTCAATGTTCAACTGGTTACCGAGGATAAGTAAGAAAATCCATAAACTCAGACACAAGTAACAGTAAAGTGTTCGATGTTGTGAAAAGAATCGTATCGTTTCACGTAGCAGCATTTTGTATTTGTATTTGTTTTGTTTTGTTAAAACTCTTTTCTTATACTCTTAATACGACTAGGTAAATTCTGTCTAATTTTGCTCAAAGTAGAATTGATTTCGTGTTACATGGCTAATGATATGTTTGGTTTGTTTAAAATTTGGAAATAGTTTGCACGATTCAAAGCATTGTTTGCTTGGTGGGTACAAATTTTCACTGACACTCGTTTCGTTGTGATTCGATTTTCTATTTAACACAAAACGAGAGCGCAGGACAGAAGAATATGCCAAATTCTCATTTGAAATACGATGGCTGCGGCCATTCGATACGAGATGGCGTTGCGTTAAATGTGAAAACATGTAAACATTTATTGTCAGTGTGTTTCTGTTTTGGGTATTAGCATAATGACATCATCGTTGTATTGGTGCCTGTTTCAACGACACATATACCACTTGCGGCGGCATAGTCACGAACATGTGTGTTTTCAACGCGCAACCCAAATGTCAAACCATAAATATATTGCGACGATGTATTAGAACCAAAACGACAACACGAGGCAAGACACGGAGACTTGGCTACTCCGATCATTTCTCTCTTTTTATTTACAAACGAACGGAAAACAGCGAATTTTTCATTGACGATTCATTGAACAACAGTAAGTACAAATTAAACAAAATTTTGAATATCGTGCAATTCGTGTGTGTTTTTCACTTTTTGCGTCGTTTGCAACGACTGTCGTTTCAACAACACCCAACGAAAATATTCAATCTGTCGACACAGTGCTTGCGTTTGATTTAGACGAGGTGGAAAATTGCTTGACTTGCTCAAAATAAACCGTGAGCGATGCCATAGAATGTGCTATTTGTTATTTTCCCTCATAAATAATCAGTGCAAAATGTATCGCAAAATAAATCCGTTGTCATAATTTGAATGCGAATCGAGAACGAAGATTTTTTTCCCACCGAATGTGTGTTGTGGGATTTAAATTGAGAGAAATACACGAGACAGAGTTTGATTTGCTGACTGATTTTGTTGAAATTGGTAGTCTTTTGAATGATTTTTCGATTGGGTTTTTTGATTCAGCCATTTCGACATACAAATTGAAAATAAAGAACTTCGAATGAAAAATGATTGGTGCCATTAAAATGATAGTAGCCGAATGCCGTGCTTCAGTGATTTGTGTTCGAGTTTCGAATAAATTTAAATAATTTAGCTCATTTTAACTTAACACAGTGAAAAAAAAAAGAAACAACGTTCGATTCGCTTCTGACTTCGTCGAATCCAATGAACCGTGCACGATGTGATAAGTGCAATCGACCATGCCGTTTTGATTGTTATTAAATTGTGCATCGTTATTTAAGTGGCTGCAACCAGAGAAACTATTACAGCGTTTGGATTTGTTCCTTCTTTGTTTTTTTTTTAACTAGTTTCTACTTGTTTTAATATCTTTACTCAAAACGGTTTGCAACTTAATAGGTTTCTCAATTAAGAGCGATATCAAAGTTTTGAATGGAAGAGAGAGAGAGAGAGACAGAGTTAACGTAATTAAGCTACATCTCCCCCTACTTCATTGACAAAATCGCGCCGTATATAGGAAATTGGGTTGTAGTATGTGCGTGCATGAACGAAAAAAAATTGTGTATCTTTGTTGTGTGTATATTTTTTTTTTCAATCGCCGGAATGACATTGGCTCTGAATAAATGTTCATATCGAATGCGAGATATTGTCGTAGACTGCAAAGTCCAAGTAGAATAAATTGCCAAAAACGACAGTGAAATCGTTTATTTGGAGTAGCGCAAAGAAAAGCAATAAACGAAAGAGAGAAAAAAACAACAACACCAAGAATTCAGCGTCGGTTGAGCAGACACAAAGTAAATGTTTGTGTAGGAAATTCAGTGAATACGCGCGCTCGCGCTGACAACTGATTATGTCATCTCAGCATACACAGTGCTGATCTCTAAATTTAGTTGTGTGAAATTCGCCCATATATACACAGATACAAACGATTCGTGTCTTGTGATGTCAAACACGATTATTCTCTTGACTGGTCACATTATCGCCGATTACTTGATTATCGTCGCAAAGCGAATTGTTCATATTTTTTTTTATCTTTATTGCAGTGATAAAAACACCGCTTATAGTTTTATTTTTGTCGTCTAAAAATATTCATTGCATTTTGGATTTTGATAACGATTTATTTCCCGCAGAAAAAAAAAATTTGTGCAATTTTTCTGCTGACAAACACACTAATTTTAACGGGTGCTCAATGTGAGATATACTATTTTTGTGTGTGTGTTTTTTTTTTCTCTTTACATTTCTGTATATCGAGGTCGTGTTATACAATCAACTTCGACGCAAGTGGTTTACGGTTGCGTGCAGCCAAGAATTATAATTTATTGTTCGAAATTCTCTTTCTTGTGATAGCAAAAAGTTATTTATTTTCAAAGCTAAATTTGAGAACAAAAACTAATTTCATTGTATTTTGTTCCTATCTTTTTGATACAGAGAAAAGAGATGAAGAATGTTCAAGTGCTACCGGTTGTGGTAGGCATTACATTGTGTACGGCGAGCGCAGCGTTGTTCTACAAATGGTACAAAACACGGAATGCACCGCAGGATCGAGTGGATGGTGCATCACCTCGCCCGAAATGGAAGGCAAAAACTCAGTCGAAAAATACGAAAATCGATGTGACCATACCGAATGATACGTTGCAATTGGTGATGGGCCGTGCCGGTGCGAATGTCAAAGCCATCGAAGAACGAACAGGTGTGAAAATTTCCTTCCGCGATAAAGATGGCCAAAATCAATTTTGCGAGATTACCGGCCCGTACGAAAGCGTCATGAAAGCAGCCAGTTCAATTAACGATGAAATCAAGCGTTCACAATCGGTCACCGAGGACATCATCATTCCGAAGTCGACACACGAAAAGATTAGCTTGAAAATTTTGCGCGATATTTGTCATGAAACTGCTACAAAGATTCGCATCGAAGGTGGACTCGAGGATAAAACCATGCGCAAGGTCAATATTACCGGCACATTTCCGAATGTCCAAAAAGCCAAGCGATTGATTGAAGACCAAGTGCGCCAAGATCTCATCGATCGCGAAACTGAATCCAAACGTGAGCCAAGATACAATCAAAAAAATTCGCCAATTAATTCCTCCATGAATTCCTCCGTGGAAAGTCTCTTCAAACAATCATGTAATTCACATATTGATATTTACTAAATCATTTATAACATTAACATTCCCAACACCAAAAAACCATATTGTATTTGTCGACCCAACAACAACCATTTTATATTGTATTTGTCGACCCAACAATAACCATTTTATATTGTATTTGTCGACCCAACAACAACCATTTTTTGTTTCATGTCATCTCAATAAAAAAAACACATACATTTACACTCGTCTCGCATCTGAATTAAACGAATCCATTTTGTTTGTAGCTTCACCACAGCCAACGCTATCGGCGGGACTGCTGTCGAATATTGAAAATTTCAACCGGATGCCAAGTAAACTTGGCGGTCAAATGGAAGTATATGTGTCGGCTGTTGCATCACCAGCACGATTTTGGGTGCAAATTGTTAGTCCACAAATTAAAAAGTTAGATGAGTTGATCAACGAAATGACTGAGTATTATAGCCAAGCTGAGAATAAGGACCGGCATCGCATTAAAGATCCGTATCTTGGACAAATCGTGGCCGCCGCCTTTCAGTATGATAACAAATGGTACCGCGCCGAAATTGTGGCTATTGTGCCGAACGAATACGATCCACGAAGGGTCGCTTTAGATTTGTACTTTTTGGATTTCGGTGATAGCATCTATGTTGATCCTCATGATGTTTATGAACTTCGCACTGACTTTTTGACTCTGCGGTAAGTGTTGCCACTGCACAATTTTTATGTTGCGGTTTATTTTTTTGCTTCATTGAACGAAACAAATTATTCGTTCTGAAAGCAATTCAGTGAAAATCGAATCGATTACTCATTTGCTTTTTCATTCGATAAAATTCGTAGAAAATATCGCATTTTTGTATATTATTACTAATTCCGACTGTGATTTTTTTTTCGAACTGTCACAAATATTCTACAGATACCAAGCAATTGAATGCTTTTTGGCAAACGTTCAACCAGTTCATCCGGTTGAAGGGACTCAATGGAATCACGAAGCAATCAACAAGTTTGAAGAACTGACACATGGTAAGTAAAACTCAGAAATAACATGTTCTTTTTGCCCATTGAAGTAATTATGCATTGAAATAATGATTTCCACTAACTGGGTCATTTCAGTTGCCAAATGGAAAAAGCTAAATGCCAAAACAGTGAAAACAAGAGAACGTTTCAGAACCTATGACGCAAACCAACGAGAAAGTTCAACGATTCCTGGTATTGAACTGTACGACATCATTGACGGTATGTTTTTTGTGAATATACCTAGTTCAAAGTGTCAACGTTACCAATGGTTTTCCTTCCGAAACATTTTTTTTTTCAGACCACGAAGTGAGTTTGGCATCGATTTTAATTCTCGAAAACTTTGCGGTGCCAGCAAATCAAGACGATGCACCGACGCCGTTGTCACGATATTCATCATCTGAGAATGTGTTGCGATTGGATGGTGGATCAAATCCAACTGGATCAGTTGCCGAGAAAGCGATGATGTTCGAATTAACAGCTAATATTCAAAATAGTCGAAACACCAGCCCAATGCCAAAATCGAATGGCAGCAGTTCAGATGGTCAACGATCGCCACGATTTTCATCGAGTCCCCGAAGGAACAACATTCAGAAGAAGAAAGCAACAAAAGAGAAAAACAATAGTGTCAAAAATCTATCAAATGGAGACGATAAAAGCGGTAATTTTCAGGAACTGCTAACGCAACAATTGCTAGCGAATAAAAGCTGGAGTGAACTCATGGACTCTGAGTCATAAAAAAAGCAGATTTTGATCAAATACAAATCGTTTTCATCCTCATTGTATTTCGTTGGCTCGTTAAAATCAAAATCAATGTTGACTCATTTTGTGATTTGTTGTAACATAATTGATTTAGGAACTTTCTTTACAAAACTTGAATTTTTTTGAATGAATTTCATCAGTTCACAGTTCAACTCACTATTTAGTTATATAAGTAGATTCTCATGGTATGAAATATCATAAGTTAAAGAAGTAGTTGCCAAAATGTGAAACTTGGAACTGTAGAATTTAGTCATGGTTAAGACTCATTTGTACTTAAACTCGCCATTGCACATGGTTTTAATCAATTCACATTTTATTTTCAGAGTCTTCATTGAACGCAAAATGTGTTCAGCCAATACAGTTTCTATTTCTCAACTTTCACACGCTTTAATCGATATATTTCGCGCATAGGAATCGAATATGAAAATACGCAATTTTTTTCTCTTCAAATCTCTGCCCTAAATATTCACAAACAGGCTTTTACCTATAAATATAAATACCACCTCATCTATCATATTATATATGTATATTAGCTGTAAGACGCAAATATTTATGCTCATGAAACAACCGATTGTAGTGCATAGAGTAGAACGATGGGCTGGGCTTATTCGTTATAGAGTTTGCAGTTGAACAAAATGAATAGAAAAGTGCCCGAATTTGAGTAAAGTGGAAATTCAAATTTAATTTAAAACCAGATGCCTTTGATTGATTTATTTTGCGTTAGAAACCAAATCGAACGCATTGATTTAGGTTAGAGTGAATGTTATGTTTGGACGGGGCTGTTAATTCAGCGGTTGTATGCGGATTAGCATCAGCATGTAAACAAAAAGTGTATTTTTAGCGAACAAAAATTACATATTTCGCACAATTCACATTAAATTCAAATAAGACAAATTTAAAATGGGTCACACCTGATGCTGATAGCAGTCATTAGGCAAACGCTGGCCAATTACTGCACTTGAAACACCGTTCAATAGAGATTGATTTGTAATTATTTTATGAAGATTGTTTCAAATGTTGAATTTAATATTAATTTAAGCTTAGATGAAAGGTTATACGTTTATCGCAAAATGTTACGAAAGACATTTAAATAAACCAGTTTTATGAGAATTAAATGCATTCTTATCTTTTGAATATTTGTATATACATACTTTTGAATAATGTGTAGAAAAACCAAGTTCGCCATGGTCAGATTTAATATTGGAGCCGCTTAAGTGAACTTAAGCAATTTTGGAATACAGAAACCATGTGTGAATGCCCTCGACGCGTGACTCCGCACCCTGGGTATTTTTTTCGACATGTCAATTTGTCTGGTTTCTTCCGTGCTGTCGCGTACACTGCACTGGTACACTTCTGACGGTTGACGGAGGAGCTTTCGTTGCCGGGACATAAATTTTAATTAATCAATATGCTATTAATTTTATTTTTGTATTAATACGAAATTAAACACTTTGGGGTCAATGCATTTTTAAATAATATTTACAAAAAAAATGGAGCGCTGATTTGAAATTAGCTTTTCTTTTGTCACTTTGATGTTTCCATACTGAAGAAATAGAATTGGGAACAAATGCATCATTTTTTGTTGTTAAAATAATTGATTTTTTCATTTTTTTTCATTTTTAGATAAAATTTTCTTGTCAAGCAATGGCGAATTGAACATTGACTTAAGAAATCTTCAAATTCTGATTTTTAAAGCCTTTTCTCCGATACAATTTATACTACGTACTCCGTTTGATTTTCAATACTTCAACCAAAATAAATGCACAAACTGCCATGAACAGAGTGTGTGCACGTGCACTGTGAACGTTCATTTTTCAGTCTTGCATTTTTTTTTTCAAACTTCTGAACACCATATTACTTGTCTATGAATGCAGATGTCGCTACCTTCTAATTTGTATGGAAGACTGAAATAACTTTAGACAAACCCAGTGGACAAATGGAATTGTTTAAAACTTGTGAATAAACTTTTTTGAAAAATCCACTGTTCGATATTGTAATAACAATGTTTTGAGGCGAGTAAATACGCACAAAGATGAAGAAAATGGTCGATTGGATGAGTTGAGAGAAGAATTGAATTGAATCTGCACAGTTAGCAATTCGCAACAGATTTTCTGCGCTGTTAGCAATTTCGCAACAGATTTTCTGCGCTTAGGCGTAGATTTACTTAGATGAAACAGAATCAGGACGAGAAAGAAGTAGAAGAAAAATCATGTTCAAAATCACCACTGGAATCGGAATCCGTAAAGACAAAAGCAGATGATCTTTCGGAATGATGACACAATGACGAATGATCATAGATCAAATCACTTATATGAAATACATTATAAATTTGAATTTTACGTTGTAGTTTTTCAAAATTCATCGCTTACAATTTTCAAAAGATGTCGCTCGCAAGCACCGTTTATCAGAAATTCAAAAACCATTTGCGCATCACAATGTTCATGATAAATGACGTGATAAAGATTGTTCGTTTATGATACAAGGCATATTCTCGCCAAATTGTTGTTCGTTCAACACGACATCTCTCATATATCGTCTACGTGCTTCTGCTCTTCTTAATTATAGGTTTGTGTATGCTCATTGCTACACGGCACGCATTATTCACTTTGTTCAAAAAGATTCCTTTGATGTGCGCGACGCATACAAATCCATTCGTTCTTAAATTCTGACATCAGCATGCCGCTCATACCCTCTCCCTATTGTGGATGATCGAATGTTCTTTGAATGTTTTTTTTTCACGTTGCAATTGTGCTAAACGATGGAATTTCTGCCATTTTCGATTGTAAATTCAGAATCAATTTGAAAGCTATTCGACTAAAGCAAAACAAAAATGACATGACTGGGTCAGCATTCCAAAGTTTAAAATTTCGATTTTATTTTACGTCTATTCTCAAGCACATAAAAGAGTCGAACGAGTGCGTAAAAAGTGTTGTAATTCAGTAAACAAAATTGGTGGCAATTGATGATGCGAGCACGTGTGTCTACAAATATTACAGCAGCCAACCATACAGACCTATCATAATAATTAATGCGAACTGTTGAGAGCTGAGAGTTTGCAATGTGAAGAAGAGAAAAAAATGTCAATGATCAGTGATGAAGACCTTAAAAATGAAATTATATAAATTGGTTCGTAATCGAATCGATTAGTTGTGTCGGTTGAAAACAAAGCGGCAATCTGAAATCGAATTACATTCGTAATGATCACTTTTTTCCGCACATCAGTCTTCCTCGGCCCAGCAATCTTTCAGCAAAGTTGAACGCATTCGTTCAACTGTGATCGACGAAGATTAAAAAACCCTACAAACGAAAGAAAGAAACATTCATCGCCGTGTATATGCCATACATTTGTGGTTCGCGCCAATTGAGTGAGCGCCGTGTGTGCGTTTTCAGCGGTTCGCAAGCGAGTAATAAATAAAAATTGAGTCAAGGTTGTTCAATAGCATCATCTCAAACTCGATTACATTGTGAATATACATGTATTTGTTGTGCGGGCGCATTCGTCTCTTTCTCTCTCTCTCCCTCGCTCTTTTTGTTTTTTCGAATGCATTACAAGACACATCGTCGCACTTGATTAGCGGAATCGTATGAAAAAATTAAATTAAAAAAAAAAACACCGAAAAATTTCAACTTAATAAAAATGTGAATAAAACTTCATTTACATTTTCGTTTGCGATTATAAAAAGGCTAATAGATTTTAATGGCGCATAGCGCCGCGATATGTTTTTCTGCTTTCGCATTGTTCGATTGTGAATTTATGTTGACGGTAAATGCTATCGTTCCATCGCTAATTCATGCATGAGATGCAAAAGATTGCAGATTTTCAGAGTTTTTACTCCTGCGCTGCTGGCTGCTGCTGTTGCTTTTCGCTGAAATGTTTATTTAATATTTAAAAAAAAAAAACATTAACTAGTTCACTGACAAGCAAATAAATAGCAATAAATTGACCCAGTTCATGAATATGTTTCGCTTTCCCTCTCACTGTGTCACCGTGATAATGTTATCTTGATTCGCAACGCCCAGACGAATCGAATTAAAAAGTCAACAAAAATTTACAACAGAAAAAATGACGGAGGAACCATTTCGAAGGTATCACATATTATGTGCATAAATAAAATAGAAAATGAATGATTAAGAAGGTCAAGTTTATAACGTATGTATGGATTTACATGTGACATAAGGAAATTTTCTTTAAAATATGAATGTTATTCCTCGAATACCGATTATTATAGTCACTGACTCAACTCGACAAATTCTTGCAACCGATAGATCGAAATTACATCATTCATCGACTGCGCGAAACGGATTCTAAAAAAAGAAAACTGAAATCAGTTCGTGATCATGAATCGATCGTGTTTGAATAAATGATGTGTTTGATTATGATATCGGCTCTCGCCAAACAGATCAATTAATGGAAATATGACGATGTGATAATGGTCATGCACAAGTCGTCCAACTTTCAATTTCGTTGACCTTTTACTTTTTTTTGTGTTTCCACTTCATAGCTCAGATATCATGTGACACACACACACACACAAGTTTGGTGTACCGATTGCAATCACAGCACTGCTGCGTCGAAATCACATCATGTGATTCTAAGTCTATAAATACTTGGAATTCAAACCAATAAATCCAAAAACCATATCGAACTCATGATGAAATGCCATTAATTCTGCTTCTTTTTGGTGGATTCCCAAATACGGTAAAATCTTAACATTCGAATGAAATTGACGCATTCAAATTCATCACAGTTAATCGTCCAACGCAGCAGCTGCTTCTGGCGAAATCAAAAACATACTTTATGCCCATTTTTTATATTTCGAAATGTGATTCAAAAGACGCGTGTGCGTTCGAATTAGCTCGTTCCATAATAATAAAGAGAAGAAAAGATCAACGTCTTCTCTAAAGACTGTATTTCCCAAGTCACCACATGAAATCTTCATCTAATCCGTATTCTCAAAGCGGCATTTTTTTTTTATTGGTTCTTTGAAAAGATATTATGTCACATGACTTGATCCAATCATAAAGTTATTGATTTATAATAATGACTATCCCGGAGCTAAAAATCGCTCAATTAAAATTTGTTAAAATGTTATGTCTGTTAATTTAGTCTGATTGGGCTGCCGCTGTCGCCAAACGAACACACCGTGTAAAATTCAACAATTCTGATGGTAGCGATGCCGAACGTTCTTTATTAGCGTCAATCTTCATTATTTTTGTTTTCTGTTCGGTCGGCTACGAAATCTACTGTTGTTTTAACATCTATTGCCACTGGACACGACACACGAGCTTTAATTTGATTCATCGCGAAATACACCTTCCTAAAAGCGTCATTTTTAAAAGGCGATTGTTAAAATGCGGGCAAAAATTAGCGGCACATTTTTCACATGCACCAAACCGGAAGAATAAATTCTGTTGCGAATAGTTTTTGCGATGAGTAGAACTGAGTAATGTGGGTTTGTTGCTAAAATTAACGATATCCGTGATGTTTTTCTACCCATTATGGCCTTTTAAAGATGAAAAACTTATTCCAGTTTCTGCCGTCATGTGATCGGCTGTTATCGTTTATTTTCTTGTTGTTTTTGTTCGTCAACATCTTTATGGAAGTCAATTTCTCTGTCGTTCGCCCGGACTATTTTAATGATTTAAACGGTTACTAGACGACTCTAATTGATGACGTTCAATTTTTACCATTCCAAAATTCATTTATTTTGTTCGTTCTTCATTTTGTTATTGTTGTTATAGTGACATGAACTTGAACGTCTTGCTGTGAACTTGAAATCGATGATTTTGTTTGCTTGTGCTCCATTTAGAGCTACGAGAGAAATAAATAAAAACTGTAACAGGTTGAGAGAGCAAAAAAAATGGAGCCGATTAAATTCATTGAACTGTCGATGCAAAAATTGTACGATTGAAACGCAACGAAAAAAAAAAGAAATCATTGCCCAAAATGTGTGACCTTGAGAGCGGGAAGAAAAAAACTGCACGACGCCAGAGCAACGCGAAAGAAACAATAAGAAAACAAATCTCGCCGTCATCATCATCATCGACAACGGCAACAGCAACAAATTTACATTTCACAGCGTAAACGTGTTTCAGCGTCAATTTTCGATTTCATTACCTTTACGTTGCGTGTTGGGCATGTGTGTTTTGCCTCTGATCGATGTGTCGCTCTTATGAGGAAATGGTTATTTTGTTCACATGGCGCCTAAGATCACAATCGCTGTGTTTTTTTCTTCATCATTTCGGCGTTTCAATGTGATTAGTCAAAAAGGATGGAAGTATAAATAAATCCATGGAGGTATTTGTGTCCAACACTACATAAAGTATTAGCATTCACAACAAATACAAAGAGTATCAACCTAAATAAACTCACCATTGAATGAAACCAAAAAGAGACACACCTTGTTTGAATCCAAAGCTTGGATTCCAAACTCTATTGCCAATACTTACTTTTGATGTTTGATTTCTTCAAATCGAAAACCTTCCAGAATGCGTTGGATTTGTGTGTGTGTGTGTTCATTAAATGAACTTCGTTTTATTACAAAATATTTGAATTTACGATATTATTGCTTCGATATTATTGCTCATGTGTGTCTTCTGGTTCTTGGCAATGCGTGTAAACAACAAGAAGAGAGAAGAAGAAAAAAATCGAAAGTTATGGCCGTTTATCGACAGACGCTTACTCGTATAAGGCGGCATTATAGCGCTGTGCTGAAAAGAATTCGTGGATACTTGTGATGATTTATACCTCTTGAAATGAATAGTCTACGTTGATTCGAGCACTTATATTAAAAATTCACACCTATTACAATAATGATCACGCGCCTAATCGCTCACTACTTCATTTTCGACCGGGTATTGACTTCTCAAGAGCTGTCTGCTTAGCAGATGTGCATACTTACAATTCTTTGGCGAGTTTTTTTCTCTCTTCTTCTTCTGTCTTCTGTCGTGCATCTGGCGATTATTATTAATGAATGGTTGGCTTTTGTTTTGGATGATAAATGGTCATGTGATATGATAATGTCACTGGGATCATGGATTTTGTGTCGAAAAATAAAAACGTTATGATGTCCATTTCCAATGTTTCCTGGTGTATAAAATATGACACGACACGCTATATAAAACTCACAACAATCGGATATATTTATTCGAATGCAATCGATTAGCATCTCTGTAAAAAAAAAATTATTCCGCATTCCATTATCGTGATGGTCAAAAGATCCGTTTTTGAATCGAAATGAATATTAAGTTTTTTTTTCATAGATCTTGACAAATGTGTCTTGGGTATTCATACTTTTCACAGAATAATTCAACTAACATATCGAATTTATGTTTTGGGGGAAAAACGAGGTACTATTTCTAAGAACATTAATGTGTTTGCGGTCAAATTGTTTGACGGTGACAGTCTCCGTCTTGTGCGACATGCGCCATGAATACAAACTAGTTTAGTTAAAAAGAGACGCATTTTTATGCAGATTATTGCGATATCTCGGCAGCAAAACGCTACTGGCGCGTGTGTTCAAAACCAACATCAACACTCATAACCAATAAATCATTTTTTTCTCTCTTTCTCGTATCACTTATTTATTTCGTTTCTTCAGAAGCTATTGAATCTTCTCAACGAGTAAACACACCACGTATAAGCTATATTTAGAAGAAAAAAATCCACTTGTTTCTGTCGACTTTGCGTTTGCTGCTGCTCCTTTACGAAATAATTGATCTTTAAACTTTTCCAAATAAAGAAATGATCAGCAGCCGATTAATCTTGTGAAGAGTTGTTGAGTTTTTTTTTATCGCCCGTAAGTTCGATAACCTGGTAGCAGTCGTTTCGGTTTCTATTGAACGTTTTGAATAAACTATAATTTGTCGTGAAAAGAAACTGATTAATTGAATTTGTTGTTGTTGTTGTTGCTTCAGCCTTCTCATAGTAGTTTCAAGCTGAAAATGAAGAGAGAGAAAAAAAAGCATTTCAACAATACCATTCATATTTTGAATAGTAAAAAATAAATACATGATAAATTTCTCAACCGTGTTTACTTAATCAGATTTGAAAAAATCTGGAGAAATTCCATGATCGAGACGAGTTTAGTGAAATCCGGCATTGCACTGAAAATATACATCATTCGGTCGTTTATTATTGTTACTAGATTTTGACTTTATTGATACTGGTTTTTAGCACTTAATTTGATATTTTTTTTATGCTTTCGATGCATACCTGATGATGAGTGAGCTCCAATTTACAGATTTTAACATGATCTTTTTGAAGAGGAACATTGCAACTTTTTGTATTCGATGCGATTCACTGAAATTCTGATTCAAGCTGATGCTTTGAAATTCTTGGACTAAAGCTTGAAGTTGCCAACAAGATTTAATGAACAAATCACAATTCACTAAGATTCTGTTCATCGAACTTTCGTTACTCGACGTATTGAGCAGATAAAACACAATCAAACATTGTAGAAGAAATTTCACACCACATACTTTCTCTAGTAAACTATCGGTCGTTTTGGATCGACACACTATTTCTTTGGTAAAAATTCGATGCACTTGCATTGTTGCAACCATTGCTTTTGACACAGGCTCCATCAAAATGGAAATGAAGTCCTACTTCGAAATTTTTTAGTGTTATACCTCAAATCCTGAATGCAATTCATGCACTTGTCATCATATTACAATCCATTCCAATGAAACGAAATATTTTTCGGGTTATTACTCGACCAATTATTATTGGTCTAGTTTTTGGTATAGTTGCATTGAAATAATTGCATTTTTCGACAATGAATGGGTGAAATTTGTTTGGAAGGAACAATGAAAGGACAAAATTGACTTATGAAATGAATCCATTTTACGAAGATATTTAGTTCCCTTCAATAAAGTCAGTTTTGTTTAAAGTCAGTGAAACATGTGTTGGGTTCCCTGTCTGAAGTCTATTGTTATTGCGTAGGACGAAGTAAAAGCTCGTTTGATTGCACTTTGTATTATTACCAAAGATTCAAAACGTACGCCTACTTCGGTCGATTTTATGTTATACATGATTGGTGGTACACTTGTCTAAAGTAGTATACGGTGCATTCAATATAATTATGGCTTACAAAAACACTTAAAAAATTACGTAAGTAGCGCATCAAAGAAGTGTAAAACGAGCGATTATCTCTTTTGTTCGAATTGTTCAAAAAAAATTGTTTCCAAACGCTATCTCAAATATGCTTCCCTGAATACCAAGTATTGTTCTTCATCGAAAAAAAAACACTCGCTCATCGTATTTTTTTTCCCCAAAGCAAGGCTAATAAGTATTCAGTAAATACTACATAGTCTTCAGATGCCCTTGTCCGATGTACTTCAAATAAACTGCGATCAATTTGAAACGAACCGAACGGAATAAATGCAAACGCATCGCATTATATTTAATTAGAAGGTTCGGCACGCGTCATCATTTTATCCACTTACACACACACATGCACACTCACTCATACGCAAAAGAATGACTCGAAACAAAAACGCCAATATATCATGCATTCCAAACCAATAATTATAAATTTAGGTCCGGAACAACGAGAATCGAACGTTTAAGCGAGAAATGTGACGAATCCGATGGGGTATCGTTTACGTCACTCTTGACATTATTTTAATCGTTTCCAGTGGAAAAAATTACGAATAAAATGATGACAAAAGAAATCGATAAAATATTCGCATAGAAATTAGTTCAAAATTCAGGGTGTTTTTTTTTGTGTTCGTTCACAATTGTTCAAGTTCACATTGAAAACTAACATCAATTTGATAAAATTATAAAAATTAAAATCGGCTCAACATCACCGGTATAAACACAGTTATTTATGTGTTCGACGACAAAAAAACAGCAGCAGCAAAAAACACTCGGGAGGGAAAAATACCCATCAAGTTGCCGGATCGATCTAGAGAAAAAATAATAAAAAAGCGGACGTGGATGACCTTTCCTTATCAAAACAAGTCTGTTTGATTGTTAGCCATGCGACAATCAGAAATGTTATCGCCATCGAAATACGCAAAAGGAATTAATTAAACCGAAATGAAGTTTGATGAAGTGCCATGACGAACAGAACAGCGATAATAAAAGGGGAAGAAGATGAAAAAAAGGCAGCAATAAACCATAGGGCGCCTCAAAACGTCCATTTCACGCTCAAAACCATTTTTTTTTTTGATGTTTCGTTAAAAAAAAAGTTTTTAAAAAAATCAACTCGACCAAAAAAAGAATGGGCAACGAAAATAAACGATTCATCTACAAATATTTCCATCATGTCATGACGCAGTGCTACGCTATGAAAAAAGTTCGAATAAATTTGTCGTCGATTACACGTTGTGACGAAGATGCCGTGATTAATCAATTCCCAAGCCGTACACCACAGGGCACGTATTTTTATGGATTTAGCTCGATGAGATTTCTTTCTTCTGCGAAATGCCTATAAATAAAGCTTCGAAAAGAGGGAGAAAGAGAGAGAGAGAGAGAGCGAGAGAAGAAGAAGCATCAGTGTACGATTGTGTCTTGATTACATCCCACCAATAAAAAAACATCGATCCCGCACGTAGAAACGATAAAAAATATTATGAACAATGAGGAAAAGCAACAACAACTAGACACAGCAGCCCGTGTGTAGTACCAGCCACACAACAAGACGAACAACAACACAACGGAAAAAAGAGAATATATTACCATCTTAAGCACACCATTCAGACAGTCGTCGTTTCAACGTAAATCTTTCGTTCGAATAGGATTTCGTGAAGCTGATCCCCACTTTGATGCGACGAACGTATCTCCGCGTGCTGTGCTGTGCTGCTTTTTTTCTCTTCTGTGTGCGGTTCAAGTGGTGAGAATTCTTCGATATAAATTCACTTTGCCGTACAGTTTATACTTTTGTTTTCATTTAGACGCGTACCTGTTTGGATATATCTAGAATTTGGATTATTAGTACAGAAAATCGCAAAAGGTAAGGTTCGTTTGGTTTTTCGGTCGAATGGAATTTTGTCGATGGAAAGAGTAAAAAGCCAACTACGCAAAGAGTAAAAAGGGAGAGAAAAAGAAGAAAACGAAATTCATTGTGCTTATTTTGAATGTTCAGTGGCAAGGTGAAACAAGTGAAATAAACTGTAAACTCATTCCCGTTCAATTCGTAAAATTTTCGAAGGAAAATCGGATTTTTTTTTTCCTGAAGTGATTTTTTTCATCCTATTTCAAACAGTGAATCGCACAAATTCAAAACATATAACGGATTACAACATTCGAAGTGTCATTTTCCGTTGAATTTTTTTTTTCATGTTTTTCCAAATTGAAACCCAACCAAATATATCCATTTCCATTTGCAGATGAAGGTGGCTTTGGTGATTGCTGCATTCTGCATTGTTGCATGTTTTGGTCAAAATACCACAGAAACGAATCGTCAAAAACGACAAACAAAGGGACGCTTCTTGTCGCTGCCAGTACCACAAAAATGCGCTTCTCGTAAGTTTCTTCGTTTTTTTTATTTTTCTCCATTTTTCTTTCATTTCTCAACAATAACAAACTCATTAAATAACTCTTGTGATTTCTATCGAAGATTAGCCCGAAAACAAACAAATGAACAGAAAAAAAACTAGCCGTTTAAATCTTCTCACCTTGTGTTTGTGGGTTGATTGCTGATTGTCATAATGTTGTTTTATTTCTATAACTCGTCGAATGCTTGAATCGCGCGCGCCGATCGAATCAATCGATAAAGTGAATGTGCAAGGTTGCCTCTAATGAATGTTTAATTTTCGAACGGTTTTGATCAAATCGATTTAAAATTATTGTGTTTGTTTGTGTGTGTGTGTTTGTTTTTTTTACGCAGCATCCCAAGAACGGTTAAGACGCCACATCAAGTACAGAATTGGTATTTTTGTTTGTTGATGGCCAACATTAATTGTCATTGATTGACCATTATTCGCATTAAAAAAAATCATTTTCGAGATGTGTTTTTCGTGTACGTTCAAATTGAGATGTGTGATTCAATTCAAGTAAATTGATTAATCTGACTGAAACTCATCTTTTTTGTGTGGATTTGCTTTTTCGCGAATATTCCGCGAAAGTTCACCAATAATAAAAATTCACTCATTGATTCATTTGCATAATCGTGCTACGAATTTTATATTGTTCTCGCGAAATCCATCAATATTTCCTACTTCTTCGTCGTTTGTGCGGTTTTGCTGTAAATGTCTCATATGAGCATAATTATTGGTCGTGATGTGGACGCGACAAAAGCCATGACTTAATCATATGTATATAGAGATTTTTTTAAAAATGGAAAACCTTTTGATTTCACAAGCCATAGAAATGAATCAGAGGAGAAGCGCTGCAATTGACTCATAATTATTCAAGTAAATTACATTGTGACATCTTGACCACTCGTTTCATTTTAAAGTTTTTTCTTCTTCTTCGTTTAATTCTTTTCCTCTATTCGGAACGTGTTCGTTTACACACAAATGCGATTCGTTCACGTTCATTCAGACACTATCTCTCGCGCACCCAGCGTATAGCCCATAATTTATCCAACAAATCATGTAAAAATCTTGCTGCCTGGCTATAAAACATAAATTGCAATTGAGACTGAGAGTGAGAGAAGGAAAAAAAAATCGGCGCAAAAAAGAAGAAGAATCGCAAAAACAAAAACGATATAAAAGCAAGCTGATGCCTAGATCTCTTCAAAATGCAGAAATGCTGTCGAAGTAACAAGTTAATTAAACAAGTTATCGTATCGCTGTGATCGGGGAACTCATCACGTTATCAAGTCAACGGAACCGACAGATTGTTGTTTCGCTTCTTTTTTTCTTCTTCTTCTTCACCAATTGCATTTGCATTTGAATTCAGGTTAATCGAAATCAACAAAAACTGTTAATTAAAAGTGAAATAGAAGAAGAGGTTGAGGCAAAAGAGAAACAAAAAACAGCGCATCGAAATAATCAAATATTGCCTTGATTTTTAGCCAAACAATTCTGGTGTGGTCGTTGTCATCATCGTCGTCGCAACAGCTGTTGCCGCACATAACACATACTCGCTCGTGTGTTCAATTCAGATTCACTTTTTGTTTCGCACTTGCAATCGTGATTTCACGTCAGTTCGTTGATTTTTTTTTCTTTGATCGCGCGATATCTTCAGCGTGAAATAGAAGGCGCACAAGCGGGCGCAACAAATCATCATAATGCGTGTGTGTGTGTGTGTGCGAAAAATGCAATTGAAGACAAATTCGTCGGGCAAAGTGATTAGTATGGAAGAGGTGATTTGTCAATTCTCTGTACACTGCATACCTCTCTTCTCCGGCTTGATTTAATCAGACACTAATATTTCATGACTTTTGATCACGTTTTTACAATTCTATTTTTGAGCAGATACATCATTTTTGCTATATTACAATGTGTACACAGACACACACTTGAAAGCCCATCATTGAAGAGAGTGTTGCGAATGATCGTATATGGGTTTTGTTGATTTGCCGTGGCGAATACAAGTGCTAAATTCGCACAATAATCAAAATAAAATATTTGCATTGGAATTGCTTCCTACGACGGTTTAAAAAGAAACAAATTGCCAATTTATATTTCTCTACACGGTGCTGGTGCTGGTGGTGGTGGTGTGTGTGCGTGTTTTTTTTTCGGCACCAATAAATTTATAGTGATTTGGTATAATGCAATCGAAACAACGCAGCCAATAGCGATTCAAATCTGCTTTTTTTCACTTCATCGGTATCCAATACGAGTTTCAAGAGAAGAAAAAAAAACCCATAAGAATTCAAAAGAGAAAAACATACACGATCATGTGACTGGCAGTGTGTAATGTGATATGTTGACGCCACGACTGGTATGCACAAGCAATTGCACTTTGTTGGCTACCTTCTGTATGTCTGCCATATGATGACGGCGATGACGACGACGACGACGACGACGACGACGACCCATAATGAATTCTGTGCGACTACCGATGTCCGCCTGATGAAAATTGTGTAATTAATTGAATATCATAGGTCGGCATTAAAGTAGATGTTCATTACTCCTTTGACTCGGCCAAATAAGAGTGCGACAGAGAGAGTGTTGTGATCCACACACGCGTATACAAGAGACTGAGACAACATTCGCAGACACAAAAACAACAACAATACCGAAGCGGCAAGTTGTTTACCACGGTGTGTCGATGTGAATTTCTTGTAATGGCTTTAACATTCATTTAATCATCGGTAAATCGGTTTTTAGGTCATAAGCAGCAATGAGTTATGAAAATAAAGGAGAGACTAACACACACACACACCATCGTAAGAGAGAAGCGTGGCACAAAATACACAATCAAAAATCATTCAATGCAAATGATTCGGTTTTTTTGTTCTCTTAATATCGCTTCATTCGATAGCCATCGAAGTGAAAATATCAACATTTCGTAAATGGTTGTGGGCAACGCTGAACTGACCAATGCGTCCCATTGTTTGTGCGAATTTCATAGATGCTGTTTTGTGGTCATCATCGCGATGGCATTTATGACCATTGTTATAGCATAAATGTGTAACTTGACCATCTTCTTCGTCTTTCACAGCGACGTTTTTTTTTCTCTTTTTGGTCAAATGTTGTCACGCTTGTAATTTACCGGTGGCTATAACTTTAAATGACATCATTAAATCAATTGATTTCAATAAAGATATTACCGGAGGCTGTGAGAAACGCTTGTTTCTTCACCTTTTTGTCACACTCGCCACCAAAACACCATACACACACAGACCACTTTAATGGACAATCGGACTATGTTGCGAAAATCATTGTGTGTTGTCTTCATTCAATATTTACTTCTTGCCACCTCCGCGTGTGCGCGCGCGCGCCTCTCTTGGCTATTTAAAAATTACGACATTGCTCAAGCGCCAAATTTTTACTGGAGCACTCTTCATCTGCACTCATATTTTGTTTTTACACAATATTCCGCCTAATTTGGTCAATCGTTTTCATTTTTTGAATGCTGCTCGATGTTTTCTGTGGTAATCGCTCCAAATGCGATCATATGCTTTTAACTATTTACGTTTTTCATTGTCGCCGTGGTGTGCGCACCTACGAAAAAACGAAATTACGTGAATTGTTGCAATTGGCTATTTCCTCATGAGCTGCACACCATTTACCAAACACAGTCAATTATCATTTTTATGTTAGTTTCAGTAAGTTGAGCGCGCGTACACTGCTATCCGGCCAATTATTACGTTGTCTTGATGAGAGCAATGAACGGCGCATGATGTTTCTGGAACAAATAACCATGATACTTTCAATTTTGACTGAATGAAAGACAAAAAATTAATGCTTTCACTCTTCATCTCAATGGTTCTAAACGTGGTGAGCTTTCATAACGATGTCAGACATTCGAATATAGTCCCACGTAACGACATTCAAAACGGTTGAAACAAAAAGAAACTCCATAAAGTAGCAAAAAGAAACGAATCATTGTATGGCAAGACTTAAACGAAGTATTTAGGATTGTTTACAAGACGAGAAAGAGTCAAACTCGAAAATAAATGGTCCAAAATAGAAAAAAAAAACGACGACGAAAAAAAATGTGTTTGTAGGGTTTTAATCTGTGGCAAACAATCGAGTGCAATAAGTCATCGTGAGCCAAGCCACCGCGATGCAATCGAGTGTGAGAGAAAAATGCTTGTAAACCGACGAAAGACAACAACAACGAAAAAATGCGATGAATGAGAAAACAACCGGCAGCAGTGTTCTCGCTCAAGTCGAAACCCAAACAATAGAATTCAGTATGCACAAGCGCGAAACTGTGTTGAAACGGTGTGTAACGAGTGAAAAAAAAAACAACAACGTACGACCACCGCGATCAAAGCGAGCAATTATATAATCGTTTAGCATTTGTGAAATTGTAACGCGTTCAGTCTTGAGAGTGGCAGCCATGTGATGTTTATCTCATTCTGCGTCTTTTCGCCCTGATGCCATAATCATCGTAAACAACTTATTTCGGATGATTGCATTAGATCTGCTTTTCTTCATATTTTCTTTTCTTCGATTTTCTTTGTTTCATTCACGAGAAAACACATATTTCTCGTTGTTGATTCATCTCTTGCCTCTCGTCGCTGACTCGGGTGGCAAATACAATGGGCTTCACGCCCGACACTCGTACCTAATGTTTTAATAACTGTTTCCAGTGCCGACGAAACAACAACAGTGTGAAATTTACGAGAAACGATTAGAAAATGGGCAGCTTTACAGCCTGTATTTATTGAAATGTGTTGCAGTGTGCAGCATTTCAAAATACTGATACCGATTGCATAGGAAATGAAGAAACTAGCGTTTACTTTTTAGATCAAGCTAAGATCACATGCCACGTTCCCAGTTACTTTAGTAGTAACTTACTAAACTCGGTTCGTATGCACAACAACAGCGAAGTGTGCACTATTCACTTGAGCTCGATGCTGTTAATTGGTGGCAATGATCGTGGAAACTTGAAATAGACAAGCACACTTTAACATGAAAAAAAACATCACAACTTGGCACACGCAACTATCGAAACAGTTTAAAAACTTAAATTAACGTAGAATAATGCTAAGCCGATGTTGAAGAAATTGCATTCGAGCATTATTTTTCAACAACGGCTCAAAAACGTGATAAAAGAAAAACACCAGTTGATTTGATTACGTAATTACATTCGATGCTCTTTCAGTTGATTGGATGAGGTGAAAGCGTCAGAAAAATTTATTAAATTTATGTCAACCTGAACACGCATATTTATAAACGGCTATACTTCTTGGTTTTCCGTACGTTTCTCCACATTTTGTGGTTTCGTAAATCCAAACTGTGGCTTCTGCCTTCTTCGTTTTGCTTTTTGTTCGATCGACTAGATTTATTGACTAAATTTTTTTTTACTGGTTTTGTTTGTTTCTCCTGTATGACATAAATAGGTCCAAAGGAATTCCAATACCGCGGTAAAAACTACTTCTTGAGCAGTCATGTACCTGGTTTGGCTGGCAAAAAAGTCGATTGGTTGGATGGCCGTAACTTGTGCCGTGAATACTGTATGGATTTGATTACGCTCGAAAACCAAGAGAAGAACAATTTGATCTTCCGTTTGATCCAAACCAATGACGTTCCATACATCTGGACATCGGGCCGTTTGTGTGATTTCAAAGGATGCGAAAACCGTCCAGATTTGGAACCAAAGAATTTGAATGGATGGTTCTGGTCATCATCACGCGCGAAGATGTAAGTTTTGGATTAGTTTTTACTCTCTCGTTATTTTCGTGTATTCATTCGCATTTTTTTGTTGCCTACAGTGAACCAACCAGCCGTATTCCAACCGGATGGGGCTACAACCCATGGAGCCGAACTGGCCACAAAAAACTCCCACAACCAGACAATGCTGAATACGAAATCAATCAAACCACCGAATCATGTTTGGCCGTGCTCAACAACGTGTACAACGATGGCATCGCATGGCATGATGTTGCCTGCTATCATGAGAAACCGGTTGTCTGCGAAGATTCCGATGAGCTCTTGAACTATGTTGCAGCCACCAATCCTGGTCTCCGTCTCTAAATTATTCCATCTGATTATTTTTAGCATTGATAAGATGCAAAAGAGAGTTAGAATTTAGATAACAAAAAAAAACAAAATTGATGAACGGAAGTGTGATGAGAGGCAATTTGAAACAAACGAGCGTATTTAACCAAAACGCTATCACAACCATGTAAGAGGAAACAAAACAACAACAACAAAATATTAAGATGATGAAGAAAAACACATCGAACAGGAAAATTAGTAACTATTTTAATTTAATTTAAAGAAAACAAGTAAATAAATCGAAGAAAACCATTGTACAAAATTGAATAAAAAAAAAATGGAAAAAACATTTTATACCGGAATACACCAAAGCCACTTTTTTATTTCCGTGTCACTTACCGCCTGTCTGGTACTCGTACAAGGTGTAATTTGCGGGAAAAAGAAGCCGCAGACTAGGAACAAAAAAGAAGTTGGAGCTGTTAATGAATATCATTCATTGAATGATATGATGCTCGAAAAATGAAACTCGTTTGACTAAATAATATCTTCTCTACCTTTTTTTTTATTGGCGAGGATATATGTATATCTTACGTATGCAAATAATTTTTTGCTCATTCTAAATATAAAGAAACATTTCCCTTGGATACACGCTTCGACCGTATTCGCTTTCAGCAGAGGGTATGATTCAGAACCGGCAAATTCAACACCATATTATAATGTGGCCAATCGTGCCGATAAAAAGTGAAATGGATCGGATAAAAATCGTATGATTTATCGTGGATTCAAATGGGTGGTGTAGTTTTTTTTGTTTTTTGTTGGTTGAATCGAAAGATCGTCATTTTTTTTTCTCAACTCAAATCCGGTTAATAATAATAATAATCTAACAGCGTGCTAAACGAATTAATCGTATCGAACAAATATTTAGATACGAGCGATAAAATGTTAAAAGTAGCAATATCATGAGGGGATTGAGTTGAATGAATGGCCACATGAATGTTCAGGCAATTGCTTTCTTCTTTTTGTCGGTTCTTATTGACGTCATTGAATTTGATCCAATAGTGAATTCAATACTGACGGTGATCTAATGGTGAAGACAGAGAGAGACAGAAAAAAAGACCAGAAAATAAAACTCATCAGCCGCATGCGCACAAGTACATACTGGTTTAATGTGTGTGCGTTTTTTGCATAATATATTTGGCATCGTATTTTCTATTCATTCAATTTACAAATTGAATAAAAAATGATATTTGGCATTTGATATCAAACACAGACGCACGAGTTGATTAATGCTCATTGATCTTGTTTTCGGACGCCTTCTGCAACTTATCGCCACAATAACGACGTATATCTGTTGTTGTTGCTGTTGCTGTTGCTGAAACCGTTTGAACTGGAATATGAAATCGAGAGCAGAAAAAAGATCAGTTAAGTGTTTTCGAGCGTGTTCAAATGTCATAAATCCTTTGCACGTTTCGATCGGATGAAAAATCGAATCGTTCGCATTTTAAAGTGTGTGTGTGTGTGTTTTTTTCTACAGTTTTCAAAGAAAGCTGTTTAAACATTCATTATTTGTGCATACAATTTATTGCTTATTCTGAATTTGAAAAAAAAACATTGATCTTGGATGAAGCTTAACCGTATACGCTCTCGGCAGACAAAATACTTTCAATCTGGCAAATTCATTGGGTACATGAATAATATTTCCCATTCTATTTCATCGATTTCTCCACACATCTACCGCAAGGGTCGTTCTCAAAATTTAGTGCCCAGTCACGAGCTTGATGCCGTTTTAATTCAATCAAATCGTAGTTCGTCTTTTCTTTGGCCCATTTCGTCGCAATGAATACCTTATCCTCAACATATATTGTGGTTTTGCAAGCTCCGGCCAATTTCTTTCGTTCTTTGTTAAGTGCAATCAAATTGAGTGCACTCTCATTAAGCAAATGTGAAATCATAAAATGTTTTAATTTCGGGCAATTTTGTATGAAAGCAAAAACTTGCTCGGTGGTTGTTTTATATGTCTCCATATTAACAGATATATTTGTCCCAATATAGACACGTTCAACGGTGTCTTTTGCATATTCATATTTTCCATCAAATTGGCGTGGGTCAACTACTCTTAGTTCCTTTAGATTTGGTAGTGGTGGAATGACAAAATACAGACGATGGAGGTGCAGTGTCTGTGTTCCAGTTGATGGGATATTCCGAATCTCTTCATTCACTGCGAAAGTGTCAGCCAAATTTAGACGCTTGTAAAATCCTTCATCATAAAGTCTTGGCAGTAAGTTCATCTCGTCACGGATTAACATAAAAATGTATAGCCGTTCAAATGTTATGCCGTTCGCAGACAAATGTAATGCATTTTCAACAAGAGAATTAAAATCAACTGATATCGCATGGATGTTCGGATTCATCCGGAAAAATCTTACAAATTCATCAATTTCATCTTTCGGCATATTTTCGATGTGAACATATTCAAGCGATGGGTATTGATGCCTCAACCACTCATTGCTGATGATGACACATCCTATTGTCTGAAAATTTTCAAGCAATAGTAATTTCATGTTGTTGCAATATTTCAGGAAAACGTCATAGATATTGGGATCAGATTTCCATCCTCTAATGTATATGTACTGGATTTTGTTGAGAAAATCTTTGATATGCACAAATTGGGATGCATCAAAATCAGGCCCAATTGACACATCGATTTCTTTAATCAAATTTATCGAATTGAGGTCCATTCCAAGAAGTTTTTTAAATGTTTGGCCATTTAGGGAGAATTTCCCAATTTTCGGGTAATTCGTTTTGATGTAGTAGTCGGCCACCTTTTTTAATCGCTTACATGTTTGGCGAAGAGTAAATAAATCCTTTATGGATAACCATTCGAACAGCTCTTCGAGGCAATCGATATTGAGCGTGAACATACGTGCTGAAGATTCGTCGTTTGGTGGTTCGGCTACGGCCAATGCATTTTTGCTGAGATTTGGATTTTGTTCATTTTGACTTCGGTTTCGACTATCACTTTTGTTCCAAGGTTGGGACTGTTTTTCGTCACATGACATTGTCTCATAACATTGATTCTGATCGTTATCATCGTTCGTCTTTTCTTTCTTATTTTCTGATTGGAATCCCATGTCGCTTCTCTTGTCACCCATTTCGATGCCGAATCAAATGAAAATCACTAATGCGTCGATTTGTTTCGAGCTCATGAATCTGAAACAGCAAAGAGAATTTCATCATAATGAGTTGCAATATCATTTTTAACTCACCCAAAACAATGTCCAACAGATAGTTTTTATTCTTTTTAAATCAAACACCGTCAATATTTGGGATCGAATACAGAATACATTCAGCTCACTAGATGTTTTAAACCACGAAGAAATTGAATAACAGAAAATAACGAAAGTGTTTTTCTAATCACCTTTTGTTCACAATCACAGGCTTATCAACAATATAATAAAAAAAAGGCTAGGCCCAGTTGACAACACAGCAATTGACACTTTAGTGCTGCTATTATAAATAGTGACAGTATATGTACTGAAAAATCCCGCCAAGTTTAAATTCGTAGAGTTTGCGTTGAGCTTTGCTTCAAACCAATTCGCAATGTAATAATCGAGCAATTGATTGAATACGGTTAATTATGAATAGTTGAATGTTGTAACCAAATTAATTAGGATAAGAAGTTAAGGAATTCAGCTATCGAAATTGAAGCTAATTATAGCTGAATAACCATGTAAGGAAGTATAAAGTAGAGAAATCTTAAAATGGTAAACAAATCAAGATTATTTAATAAACAGTTCATTTTGGAACTTCGTCGACTACCGTACAGTTCTTCTAACCGAAATTAATAAAATTTCGTTATTTTTCTATTGCAATCCACATTTGAATTAAAGACATTTTGAGTAAGTTTGAACAATCCAATCCAATTGCAACGCGTCCACATGCGATAGTTGATCTGGTGCGTTTATTGTTATCAGACAACTGTCAGTATTTCTGACTCAGAATGTGTGCTATTGACATTTTATTCACCGAACTTTTGGGATGTAAACAAATGTTGAATGAGAAAAAAAATGTGAAAAACAATCAGAATTTGTACGGATACATATAATAATTTATTGCTCATTCTAAATAACATTGCCCTTGGATACAAGATGAACCGTATACACATTCAGCAGAGAGTATGCATTTGAACCAGCAATTTATAACTTACAAGGATGATATAATAATTATTAATGTTCTGCATTCTATTTCTTCAGGACGATTTTTGTATTTCTTTAGGATAATTTTCGTAATTTATAGGTCGATTTTTGGGTTTTTCAGGACGTTTTTCGTTTCACCCAGTTAGCTCATACTACATATTCCACGGACTGAGTGCGCCACAAATGTTGAAGTATATGATTTCATTCATCCACAATGTAATTTCAGCCCAGTCAAGAACTTGGTGCCGTTTGAGTTCAATGAATTCATAGTTCGTTTTTGCTGTGGCCCATTTCGTCGCAATGAATACCTTCCCATCAACATATATTGTGGTTTTGCAAGCTCCAGTCAATTTATTTCGTTCTTTGTTGAGTGAAATCAAATCGAGTGCACTCTCATTTAGCAAGCGTAGAATCATAAAATGTTTCAATTTCGGGCAATTGCGTATGAACGCGAAAACTTGTTCAAGGGCGGTTTTAGGTGAAATATTTCAATAACATGATACGATACGTACACGTTCAATTGTATTTTTTGCGTGTCAAAATGTTCACTAAATTCGCAAATGAATTCTACATTTTTTCTACAATTTTTTGGAACCATTCTTCATTCGAAAAAAAATTCGATTTGTGGAAAATACGTTTTTTGACCAAGATTTGAGTTGTTCCATTTTATAGCAGTTTTTCGACAGCCGATTGCTCAAAAAAATTGTTCCTACATAAAAAAAAGTAAAAACACCAACCATTAAACTACATAAAATCTACAATTGAAATCGCTCTACCCGAAGTCATTCCGGCAAATCTTCCAAGATTTGAATATTCATCCAAAAAAAAAATTACAATACAAGCCTTTTAATGAATGATGCTCGAAAAATGAAACTCGTTCAACTAATTGTTATCTCCAACAGCGTATAGCACTGCACACTTTTTGTTGGAAAATGGCCAAATTTGCCGTAGAGAGCGCGCTTTCTTATGAACATTCCAACTGTTGGCGCCCTCTTGGCGGTTTTTTTGATAGCTAGTAGTGTTAGACGCTGTTGGCTATCTCCTTACATTTTTTATTGGTATGGATATATCGCACGGATGCATATAATTTATTGCTTATTCTAATTATAAAAAAAACGTTGCTCTTGGATGCAGGACCGTATAAGCTCTCGTCAGAGAGTTTTTGGACCGGCAGAATTATCGCCATATAATACGCTATAATATTTGGTCAATGTCGATAAAAGATAAAATGGATCGGATAAAAATCGTATCGTGGATTATAATGGGTTGTTTTGTTTTTGTTCGTTTGGCGTTGAGAGACCTCTTGAAAACATCTTCTTTTTTTTCTTCAACTCAAATCCGGTCAATAATATTACTCATTTAAACGTGCTAAATGAATCTATTATAACACACTCGCGTTGGCAATGTCATGGGCGAATTAAGTCGATTGAATGATCGCACAACATGAATTCTATTTCGAATATTTTGCTGATTGCTTTCTCCTTTTTTGGTCCATTCTTATTGATGTCATTGAGCTCTATTTACCACGGTAGCGGCGTGAATTTGTTATTGTTGCTGAAACCATTCGAGCTGAAATATAAAACCGAGAGCAGAAAATATCAGTTTTTGGTACATTTTTAGCGTCTTTAAATTTTAATTGTGAATTTTACAGCGACTCACCTAACCACTCCCATTGTCTGTGTCGGTGAAATAGTGATCAATGGTGCCAAACGTTCGGTAAATCGTGCATAGTTCCTTTCCAATTCCTTTTGATAATCTTTTTGATCGGCCGAAATGAGATTTTTGTTCTTTTTCAATGCGTCAAGGCATTTTTTGGAGAAATCTTTGAAACACAATCGCAGCTTATTTTGATGTTTTGTCGGAATGGTTGTGCCATCAGCTAGACCGGACAAAAATACCAACGCCATTTCCATTGGACCTTGATTTACGGTCGTGCCGATGCATCCTTGCAGTACCATCTGCAGAATTTTCGGATCGGATGGTTCTTGATTGGTGGCTGCTGCAAGTTCGACGGTTTTCTTCTGAATATCTTCGATTGCCACCTCAATTGGTTCCAGCACTTTCTGGGATCGAGCAATGACTTGGATTCGAGTCTTCACGTATGGAAAGTGAGTTGCTGTAGTGAGGATGGTTTTCCGCTTACATTGCTCATGCAGTTCGCCGTGAGCTTTGCCACTTTTCGTAAATGGTGTGGAGAAGATAAAGCGCTCTATTTCGTAATATGAAACCAAAACACACGTTAATTGATGAAAAATTCAAAAAGTTCAAAAAAGTGAAACATTCACTAGAATCAAATGTACGTACTGATATTGAAATTGCGCTCAAAGTAAGTTTCACGATGGCGTAGCTCGTATACTTCGAAATATGGTTCCACATAAGTGATTTGAATGTATGCCTTTTCTGGGTCAAGCGTTGTCACATCCACCGTATTTGAATCCTTGATTATGTGAATATTTTCAACACCGAAACGATCCCCATAGAAGTTCTACAGTTAAAAATGAAACAAAATGAGGAAAATCAAATGATAAGAACTAAAGTTTGAATTAAAACTTCGCAATAAGAGCAGAATTACTTGAAAGTAAAAATAAAGTTAGTCTCAATTTTTACCTGCAAACGACTGAAAATCTCAGGTAATTTTGTTAGAGTCGGTTCTTTGTAGATAAATTCCTGTTGATCCAAGTCGCCGAATTTCGATCCATAAAATCCGACACGGAAATATGTGCCAAAGACTCGTTTCCCATGCAATTGTGCGATCCGATTGAATGCTTCTTGCAGTTTGCCGTGGATTTTGGCCAATTTTTGGAAGTCTCGATTGGCCTCGCAAATCGGAGTTAATACCTTGTAAACATCGTTCATGGCTTCATACATTCCAGCGATCTGGAATGAATTGGCCGCTTCTTCTAGCAAAGCCTTTAGGCCAATTTCAGTGAAATGGTTGCCTAAGCATATACCATCATCTCCTGGGCTCAAAACGTCATCCGAAACAGCTGATTCCATCAATGAATTAGGTGTGATGTGTTGAAAAGACACTGCGCCAACGGGCAAGTGCGTTTGTGACTCTAGCATACTCAAATACTCTGCGACCAGTGCTGCACAATGGACGTAGCACATGGCTGCTTCTGTGTGGTTCGTGCGTTCGACATGTTTCTTGGCCATATTTTCCAACCATGTCAACCGCAAATCTGGATTATTCTGGTAACCTTTGGCAATGCGATGCATCAAATCGAGTAACATCTCTGGATCTTCTTGGTACTCCTTCATCTTGACAGTATCCGATAAGATCATATGCAAATTGAATAGCAAATCTTGAACTTGTTCTGGGAATGAAGTCTCCTGTAGCTCTTCATCTGATTCAGCGTACACTAAAATCGTTTTCAATGCTCGACGAAGCGATTGTTCACTAAATGTTGAACTCGTTCCAACCAATGAACTGAGCGACATTGTCACTTGCATTTTCACACGAGCAAAATTCTGTCAAAAACACAATAGGTTAGATTATTTTGTAAAAAAATCATAAGATGTTGCTTCAACGTGAATGAAAATCACTTACATTTCCGATTTCGAAGTTTTGCCGCATCAGCAAGTAGAGTGAAGCGGCCGCTTGTGATCTTATTAACGGTAGTTGAGAGCCACAGTGCTTCAAAAGAAGCAAACACAAATCGGCACAAGTGTCTGACTCTTCGTCAAACAGGAAATTATGGTATTTGAAGATCAATGCTCGTTGCGTTGCAAACAGGTTTTGCAATGCCAACGTGCTCTGGTTGCGAGCCAAACCATGTAACAAAACGCGCACAACTGTTCCAAGTAGACCATGATGAATTTCAGATTGTGCGGCCACTTGAACGATGATTTCGAGTGTATCCAAAATGATCAATGACATTTCGGTTGCTAACGAACCCTCAATATAATAATTAATCTCTGAGTCGCCGTCACCTTTCGTCGGATTATCGTAGAATTGACTTCTGAAATGGCAAAAAACGCGAACAAATTAGAAAGTTAAATCAGAGTCAATTTTAAATCAGGTTATTTACCTGTAAGGCATTTGATCTTTGCGCCAACGAAGCTTTTCGCTGCTTGATCGATCTTTGCGACGATTGATGAAGTCACTTCGTGCTGAACCAGTGCCGCGAATACATTCTTCCAGCCTCTCTTTCATATCGGATGTCTTACGGAAACTTTGGGTATTCTGTCGTTTCACCGGATGACGCTTCTGTCCTTTGTATTCGAAACTTGGAATGCAAACATTCAACACCTGCAGCATTTGGTGCACACGATGCGGTGTCTGAGATAAAATCCATCTACAAATAGAAATATCGTCGTTGGTAATGTTTACGAATCCAGTATTTGAACATGTGATTTTTTGTTTTATTTTTTCAAATATGGGCGGGATTGGTTTGATTTGAGTCTTACTTATGCAAAACGCCTTTGTCCAAATTCTTCAAAATCCACGCGAAACAGGAAAGGAGATGACGTGTATTTTCTGAGCTCAAAGATGATTTATTTTTCGTTGGTTCGGGAGAAAATGAATATAAACGACTGCCTGAAATCGCATAGGCCACCTCTGAACTGATTGTTGTCGTTCCTACAGCTAAAAGTAATGGATTTTGTCAGACCCTTTTTATTCAAATTATACGGCATCGTATTTTGAAACATACTACTTTGAGGTCCTTGATAATCCTCCAAAAATCCGATGTGACTCAAACTATCGTGTGAATCCTGCAAGTACGAATACAATTGCGGGATGGTATCCATAACAATGCCCAACAGCGGTAAGTACAAAACAGCAACGCGAGCTCGAGTCTCGGAGTCGGAGTAACGCGAATCGGAATCGTGTGTGGTCATCAAGTTGCGAACACATCGAATGGCCTTTCCGTGAAGTGATGGATTTCTGATTAATCAAATAAAGTAGAAAAAGTCAGTAAAATCAACTATGAATTCGATTCAAATTGTGAATTTGTTGTTTATGAATATTTGTCGGGCAGAATCGAAAATTGATACTTAGCTATATGAAGTTTGAAAAATGCTTTAATTCGTAAACCAAAAAAAAAACTCACGGAATATCCAAAACGGTAGCCAATTCGCTCAAAACGAGGCCGACAAGGAAGTGTTGCTGGCGGAATTCTGGATTTAAATCAGCATATAATGCCTTGTCGATGCTTGCCTGAAATGAATACAAGATTCGAATCATTAATTTTTGCGCACAAAGGTTTGATATACGTCCAATTTTCCGACGATTTCATATGTCGTCTAAACTCACCACAGTGCTCATATACGAATTCTGGCTGTTGTTCGATGCTGTGCTGGGTGTTGGGCTACATGGTGCTGAAATCAATGTGTAAGGTGTGGCAAACGGCAAATTCAAAGCTACAAAATGCTCGTGGCTGCACACAATACGCAAAAAATCCAATTTGTAATGAATAAGATCGAGTGTGGTGATGCTTTTCGAGATGATAACTTTGTAGTAGACTTTGATGAGCCCAAATACAAAACCGCGATCCATAACGCTCAGCAAATCGAAAACGAAGAAGGCCAAGCTACCGTTTAGTGATTGTGCCAATTTAATGTCCGTATTATGGAATCCAACAACTTTTGTCGCTACCAAATGCACCAAAGTGGAAAGATCATCGGTGAACTGATGTGGGAATCGGTTTTTCCGTGGCGAATTCAATGCCTGGGTTGCATCCAGGTGTTCAATCATGCTTTTGATTATCAGCTCAAAAAGGAACCATGAGTTGGTCATCGACATTTCGGAAGCATTGCCACTTGAAACGACCCAATGCAGGGCAATCTCTTCATGCAACAGACGAACTTGCGGTGTGAATATCGAACTATCATGATATTCAGATGAACGCAAACGATCTAAGCTTCCTCCACTCGATTCTGGCATGTAATTTATATCGGAAGTACTATTCGTTCGCTCCAACTCATCGCCACTTCGACTGGCGATCAGTCCGGATTTATTGGCGGTCAATGGATGCGGTATTTTGCAATGGAATTGCACATATGTACTCAACAAACTCTGTCGTCCTGGTTGATCCAATGTTACATCCTCTTGCAAGATCTATTCAATACGGAAAATTGTTAATAAAATTGACAAGTTTTCAAAGTTATCTATTTGGACTCACCGCCAATTTATTCGAAACCAAGCAAAGTGTTTCGAAAACAATGGGTCCAAGGCCAAGGCACTGATTGCCTATCTTATACATCGTCACCAATAGCTCGACCAATTTGTCAAGAATCACCACAAGATTCTTGACTAAAGGCTCCAATTCGGATTGTTGAATTTCAAGCAATGCTTTCTTCATTTCGCGTTCGATATTCGATTCACCGATGCGAGGCGGAATTTTGCGGCTCTCCAAATACTCGCACAAATTTATGAATCGATTAAGGAACGGGTTGAGTGTGTGAACTGAAGTGACTGCATCAATCGTTACTGTGAAAACGGGTCGATGATTGTCGAGCCATTTTGTTCCGGGTAGTTGTACATCAGGCGGAATGTACGAATAATTCTCTGGTGGCTGTTCAACCATAACAGGCAACATAAATTCACCGACATTTAATTTACCATCGTTCAAAATTGGTAGCCACTGGAATTAGAACAATGTTTTCATGAACAATTATTTAGAAATGTTGAAATTCCGAGCTAAAATCAATACTCAGCAAAAGCACAGGATTCTTTGTTTAAAAAAAAACCTTCGTTTCCATACCGTGTATCCAACTGGTGACTCAACTGAAGTTTGAACCTCCTGTGGTTTCTTCTGGCAGGAAACATGGTACAGCGTGAATAGCAAATGATGATTTTGCTGTAGGTCAGCTGGTAGTGCAACTTTAATTTCGTCATAAAAATTCGGGCACTTATTGTGATAATTCACCGAAGAAAAGGCTGGAAAATGATCAAAATAATTTGTTTTCATTAATTCATCGAAATTTTCTTCAAATTAAACTGTTCAAAATTCAATCTACATTTAAAAAAAAAATTAAACTGAATCAATTTTGAATTTTAAAAATATTGTTGTAACTCTTACCCTCTGATGCAAATTCTGGCGACGAACTCTTGGCAAAAATTAATTTCAACGCATCGCTTGCGTTTTCGCCGCTCATCAGCTGGACTTGAATGGCGATATTACGTGCAGAACCTGCACGAGCGGAAAAGTTCAATTCTTTGGGGCTGACAAAGAGAAGGTTACGATAAACGTAATGCGGATTGAAGATGGGCAACGAGGGGAATTCAAGAATTTCTTTGATGGGACGTGCTTTTTCATCCAAATATGGATCAATTTTGGCCAGTTCAGGTGTTAGGCAATTCGAAACATTTTCAGGGCATGGGCTGATTTCTAGCTTGATAGAACCGGGAATGTATTTGTATTTCTTCATCACTGATGCTGGTCGTTTTAACTCCGGTAGAAATTTAAATAGATCTTCATCTTTCATTTTCTCCGACTCCTGCAAACGGAATGAATAGGTGAAAAGGAATGATATTTGGAGAAAGAGAGACGGAACATGAAGTCCTTCTCTTCAATCGATATTCCCTTACCTGTTTAAAGAAGCTCGACACAGTAATCGTAATCGGTCGGAAGTTTTCAATATTATTGGCAAAGTCATCTGGTGACCATGAACGTCGTTTTTCCGATTTACGTTCCAGTGAACCACGACGCGTCAATGTGCCCATATCAGTTGCTTTGCGACGTAATTGATCGAAACTACTTGTGGACAATTTCCGGTCCAAACTATTTGAACTGTTGGCCGATCCCATTGTGTCTCGTTCCCGTTCATCTTTGGACGTTTCAACGCCATCACCGTTGAAAATATTGGTCAAATAAATGCCGGTCCAGGCAAATGGCATGCGATACTTTCCAAGACGTTCACAATAATCGGCTGCATTTGATTTGGCTTTATCGCGATACTTTTCTTTGTCATCTTTGATGTAAGGCTCAACCGAATCCTTGATATCACCTTGAAGTACCTTCTCCAAGCGAATCACCAAAAATAAATCATTGCTCGGATTTGTGACTTCAAAAACGGCCGTTCGGCTTTGTGTGCTGATGTCAGTGTATGGTACATGTGATGTCAGCATTCGCTTAATGTTCTCCGAGTTCATGTCAAAATAGAAATTTTCGGAAATTTTCTTTCGTTCTTTTGCATCATAAATGGCCATTGAGGCAAAAATTGGCTCCACTTCCAATTCCAATTTGAGCTGCAAGCATTTAACTAGAAAACGATGCCCCATGTGTTCGAACGGCATTTCCGCAGGTAATCTCTTCTCCACAACATCATCATCAACGTCTTGGTACAACGTAAAAATTGACTCTTGTCGATCTTCCAAACGGCGTTTCTCATTGTTTTGGTCAATCGTTTCGGCTGGCGTGCGATCCAAGAGACCATGAATCAATGGATCATTCACTGAACTCCGCAAATCAAAACTAGCCCACGATCCACGCGGCGTCAGTGTATCGGTACACGACGATATGGACGATAAGCTCGAAATAGACTGGCGACTGCTCGGCGTACAACTTTCGCTTTTATACGTCAATGTCTCGTCCAACGAATAATACTCACGATCGATTTCAAACTCCTGTTGGGTAACGCTCGGTGTCATAGCACCTTTGTCAAAACTGATACGAGGCTCACGAAGCAAGCACGAACTTGAAAAATTACGTTGTGCATATTCAACCACTTTCCATGGCCGAGTGTAACAATCGACACATTCACGAATGTGCATCGGAAGGGATTTTCTACACAGAAAAAGATTAAACAATTTTGAATGGGTATGAATTTGCCTAGGACGAATGTTGAACTTACATATTTTCTTTGGGAACAATAGGTTCGGTTGTGCGAATTTTTCGCTCGATTCGCTTCATTTGTACGTCACATGGTGGAAAATCCAAAATATGACGCAGTGGATCGCGACTGATAAAGTTTGAATGCTGCTGTAGAAACTCCTCATAATCGATTGGTTCGACCAGCTCAGTCAATGACACCTAAAATGTAGGACAATGATAAAAAAGGGTCTCAGTTCAATTTTGATTGATTTTGAACAATCAGAGTTGGAAAAATGTTCATTTTCACATCAAACTCACCGACGACGATCCAGCCGAACTGCAGCTTTCACTTTTTGCTATACGAAAACGGAAAACAATGTTTCAATTAGTCAGTGTACTGTGTGCAGTGTTCATTTGCAGCCATATTGAAATTACAACATACCATTCATGTGAAAATTGGCCACATTTTTCCTAACATCGCTCGCATGATGCCTGTCCAAGCAAATGAAATGGATACAATTTAATATCAAAAGAGGAAAAGTCACGAAAAATCAAATAAACGCTAAAAACCAAACAATCAACACTATTCATCGCATGTTTACACAATGTCTACGCCTAAAAAAGCAATCACAACAGGAACGTAATTCATTACTTGGATAATTTTTGTGCAAATGCTCGTTGAACCGACGACATCTTTGGAATAATTCACAAATTTTCTGCTTAATCCATGTGAATCGAAGACAAATTGATCGAAAAAGAAACTCGAAATAAACAAAATCAGAGAGTGAAATTTGACTTCAATATGAAAAACACGAAAAGACTGTCTTGTTCAATGACTTTGTTTCAAAACACACACCAACACACTGCTATCGAAGCTAGTGTCGAGCATACGGCAATGCTGTGTTTTGTTGTCAAAAAGCATATATGCACTTTGCTTCTAACGCGATGTGCCTGTGTATGTGTGCCTGTGTATGTGTGCGTGTGCGTGTGTACACTGGAAGCGTGTATGAATCATGAATCATATGTGTGGCTGAAATGTATGAGTCTTTGGAAGTGTAACACACACAGTCGGCATTCAAACGAATACTATGTATATAGAGAACTTTGACAGTTGAACAAAACAAAGTAATCCATTTATGCCGAAACTGAAGTATATAGCTATGGAACAAAAAAATATGCAAATGAATGAACAACGGATTTTTCGGTTAAAAAATGTTTTCATACAGAATATTCGATTTATTAACGCTTAAGATTTTGAATTGAGATGAATTTTTTTTCGTATAAAACTATCGTAAAAATTACATTTTGTTTAGATTCTCTAGTGAAAAGTAAACTTTTCGCGTTGAAAAAATCACAATAAGGATCATCGCCTTTTTGATTCAATCATGCTTATGAAATTAAATGAGAAAAAGATCGTATTGAAAAAGCAAATATGCTTAGAAATTAACAAATGGAATTAATGCGGTATATGTCGTATGAATGCCGGTCATTCCTCATCACTATACTCCTCTTCATCGTCTTCATCTTCGGCTTCTTCTTCGGCCTTATCCAGTTCGTCAAAGTGTTCGGAACGAAAACGTAGAACATCATTAACCGTTTCGTTGACTTTGGTTGAGAGAACGTTGACTTTGGACTGAACCTCGGTAATTTGCAGCATCATCTTTTGAACGACTTCAATCACTTCGCGATTTGATGAAAACAGCAACAGCGATGACAATGACTCCTTAATTTCGACCAACATTTTATCATGCTTCAGAATGCTACCCATCCAATTGTGATCCATCGTTGAAATGGGCAATGACAATTCGACCAGACGCCAGATCTTATCAAATGTTTCAGTGCCAGCCTTTGCGAGTTCCGTGCATTCTTTCAGTGTTTTTCGTACACATGAAATATGCTCTTGTTGCTCCGCCAATTTGGTTAGCGTACTTAGCTGAGCGGTGATATTCACATAACCATATAGAGTGGTTTCCCATTCCGACAACGTTTGTTTGACCTGTTGCTGGATTTTTTGCTGCACTTTTTCGCTTTTTTTATTGATTGCCACCGCAAATAGGGCTCGACGCAAACTTTCTGATGACATTGTTTCAATGCTCAACTTTTTTTCCGATTGCTTTGTACAACTAACTGTTCGTTCCGTGAATGAAACCAAATTAGTGCTTCGCAACAATGTTAAGCGGAATGTTTCGAATATCTCAACTGATTGGTTTGTTTGACAGTTGACGACAAGCTGGCAACTTGACATTGACAAATTCTGAATGTTTATATTTTTCCATTCGATTCCAATCGGATTGTATTTGGGGATCGTTCAATGCCTGTCTCTGTTTTATGTAATTCGACCGCAATTTGAGTGAAATGGAAAAAAGAGACGATTTTCAATGAATAACAATAAATATTTTATTTTTGAAGAAAAATGTGAACATTATCTCAAAGCGCCTTTTGATATTTTAAACCAACGTTTTGGCTGGAATTTGGTTCGATACGACAATAGCAGAATTTCAAAGTTTTTCTTGTACCTACAATGAGAAAAATGGGAAAATTTCAAATTATTTGTATCTTCATTGTTTCATAATAATTGATGATTGATCTTCGATCAACTTACCAATCTCGATTATATTGAAGATGTGCCTTCCAATTATCGTCCAAAAATGATTTGTAAAACTCACTCATTTTATCCGCACCCAATGTGTCCTCGTCTCCTGCTTTATTGGTTTTGATGAAGACTTGCTTTTGCTAATTTAATGGAATACAAAATCAGAATGAAATATTCTTCAATTCACCGAGAAAAATCGAATTCCACTTGGAATAACATTTATAAGTAGTTTTGCAGTTTTGACTGCTTCATGGACTATGGATTTTGATCCATACCTTGACAAAATTTTGATTGTGATTTGACCAAAAATGTTGGTTCCACTGCTCCACCTCAATTCGTTTCAAACGTAGCTCTTTTTCGATCGGTGTTTCATCGGCCGGAACAGGTCGTAGCGCTGGCCTTAAGTTTGATAACTTATCTGGTGGTCCAATGTAATCACAGTTAATTTTATTGATATCTGGCTTTGATTCGAAGCCAATCTTCTTTTCTTGCTTCTTGCTTTTGATTCGATGTTCGGAAGAAAACTGCAAAACACAGAGAAAATCATTTGAAAATGTGCGTATTCTTTTGAAAAAGGAATAGAAAAAAAATGTAGTCGATTTGGTTTACCTGTGCTATTAAGATTTTCTGAATATTATTGAAATTCCGCTGAATATTTCGAGATAAATTCGGTAGAGCCATTCTGAACAGTGAGCTGTTTGGTTAGAATCACATACTCAATTCAATGTTTTTATCTTTTTGACTTTTCGCTTGAGCATTGAGAAATGTCAGTCTCTTTCAATCAAAAGGGTATGTTCCGTATGTTCAATGCATGTGTTCATCTATTCAAATCACATTACGAACAGAATGAAAATATTTGAATGATTTTTTATATTGTTGGATTTTATGCAATTTTTTCGCAATTATTTTGTTCTGTTTTTTTTTTTCTCCAAAAGTCCAAATATTCAGAAAAGTTACGAATAATAACAAATATTTGTGTTTTTTTTTTAAATGTGATTCAAAGAGGGTACATTTTATTTCAGGTAATAAATTGACCAATAAGACGAAAATGTATTATTCCATTGGGTTCTTTACAGCCAAATACAAATTGAACAATGTATTGAGTGCAAATAAATAGTCAACTTGGCTGTTTGTCGGAGGTAAGGGAATGTCAAGCAGACCGCACATCAATTCGATATAGAATTTCAGCGAGCAATCCAATTGTGCACTGGGAAATCCAACGGAGTTGAGAACATGTTCCATTTTGCTGGGCCATTCTGTCATTAGAGCGTCGATGTCAGGTAAGGGTCGGCTGTTTGTTACCATTGGATACGGTTGTTCCGCATGCAATGCTTGTACTTCAGATATCCATTTCTCCACATCTTTTGGTGTTTTTGCAATAGACGGCGGTGGAGCCGGTGCACGATTGCTGGTCGTTGAAGCAGCTCTTAGTTTCATGTGCAGTAGCGCTGGGTCACTTTGATCTCCACACGGCTCATCGAGAACTTCCAAGCCCAGTGTCGAAATGAATTCAGGCAGTTTGCTGTCCTTTGTGAATGGTTCTGGTGGGATGACTTTCAAAAATGCATCAATATCGCCGACGGCCGGAATGTAGTCGGGTATGAATGGCATGAGCTGATACTTCATTTCGTATTTTGGCGCTGAATATCTAAATTTTTAGAATTAGTAAAGACAGTTGAATAATTATTGTTAGTGGAGAATTTAGAATTTGTGAATGTTCATTGTTCACCTCGCAATATATTGATATAAATCCTTAATTTCAGACGGAACATCCAAACTTTCCCACTGTCGGTAGTCAAAGCCATCAACAATTGCCTTTCCATCTTCTGTGGCAGAATCGCTACTCTCACTCTCGGATGATATCCTTCCAGCGGGTTTGTTACTCTTCCGAGGCAATGAGCTCGATGGACGTATAGTGGTGGTTCGTTCTGAGTCATCAATTTGCTCGACTACCGCTTTTGCTTGGGCAATTCTCTCGACATTCGGCCGACCACCTTCTCCCCGTGGCTTCTTCTTTACTTCAACAACCTCATCGTATAACTCCATTTCGAAATAGAACTCCAACTTTAAGCAGAAACTTCTCGAGTTTTAAACAAAATTGGAATTGAAAAAATACACGATCAAAAACATTCGTGTCATTCTCAAAAGAGAGGAAAAAATTCTGTTCACATTTTCATTACAATGTCATCGTTTCGTGTTGTATAGTTGGTTGCTAAGGAACACACTGTTATACAAACAACATGCATTATAGTAGCAAATGTTCTATATGAAATCTGTTTACGCTTAGGTGTTTACCGATGCTGGGCAAACGGTATTTGCTGTCAAATTATTGGAATATTCTATTGTTTATATTGAGCATGCGCCACGATAGAGAGCGAAAAGTGCACCAAAAAAACCGAAAATAGATTTTCAACCGTCGAATGTGCGCGAATGATCTAGATCGCCGGCAGTCAAATTAGACTGAGTTTATAAGCTGAACAGAAAACACATTTGTCAATCAAGTTTGAAAAGAATTCGAATAAAGAAATAATAATGGGTGCGGAGGAGAACTTTAAAATTCAACAGAAGGAATCGGTGGGTCGTTATGCAACGGCAACCAAAGCACTGTCCGCCGGATCGGTTGTCTTTGAAGAAATTCCATTTGTGGTTGGACCAAATCCAAACACCAGAGCCGTTTGCTTGGAATGCTGTGCACCGCTCGATGGAACTGTCAACGGTACAAGGTGTAATAAGTGCGGGTGGCCGATGTGCGACGACTGCAAATTGAACTCGGACCGAAAACATCATGCCAAAGAGTGTGACCTGTTTGTACAAAATAAGGTTAAGTTTCACAATTTGGTGACACCACATCAGATGTGCTTGCAGTTGGATTGTATTACACCGTTGAGGTAAGTGACTCAGAGCTAGTGATTTGAGTGTTTACTGAATATCGTTCACAGTGTTGGGTTAAAAATAGATTAGATAGATAGAAACGACTAAACACGAAATGTTTCATTTTCCAGAATTTGTTTGGAAAAAGAAGCAAATCCGGAGCGATGGGAGAAGGAAATCTCAAAAATGGAATTTCATGAGCAGATCCGGAAAGATTCAGTGATATGGAAAGCGGATGAGGTAAATGTGGTTGGCTACCTACATGGCCCGTGCAAATTGAAAGATCGCTTCCCGGCGGAGTTGATTCAACAAGCTTGTGGCATTTTAGAAGTGAACTCTTTCGAAGCAAAAACAGCCAAAGGTCATAAAATTCGTGGAATTTATCCGAATGCAGCAATCCTAGCTCATTCATGCGTACCGAATACAACACACTCCATTTTGCCGACCAAGAACTACAAGTGAGTACCCAATTAAACAGAACTTTCTATTGAAGCGAATGGACAAATTTTCACAACAATTTTCCTTCTGTAGGCTCACCATGCGAACAACGGTCAACGTAAAAGAAGGTCAAGAGCTATATACAACGTATACATACATTTTGAGCGGAACCAGAGTGCGACAGGATCATTTGAAGAAGGGAAAATTCTTCACCTGCAAATGTGAACGCTGCTCGGATCCAACCGAATTGGGCACACATTTCAGTTCACTTTTGTGCAAGAAATGCGACAACGGCGAGATTATTTCGACCAAACCACTTGGTATGTGAAAGAAAGGAAATATTTAATTGAAGAAAAATCCTTAATTTTGAATAATTGTTCTTCTTAACTACAGATGAGTCAGCCGAATGGAAATGTCAAAAGTGTTCGTTCACAACACCGGGATCAGCTGTGGTCACGGTGGTCACCACGATTGAAAGTGAAATTGAGCAATTGCAAGAGCTCGAAACATCCATCGAAAACATCAAACTGTGTGAGAATGTGTTGACAAAGTACAGCAAAATTCTGCACCCAAACCATTATCTTCTCGTGAACTTGAAGGAAAATCTCATCGATATGTACGGTTGGCAGTTGAGTAATCAAATTGACAACGATGCCACTATCATCGAGTGTTTGGACCGAAAAATTACCCTTTGCAAAGAGGTGTTGAGCGTATTGAATGTCATTCAACCAGGCTTAAATCGTGCCCGGGCAATGTTGATTTATGAGACTTACACATCAATTGGAGCCATTATCAAAAAGAATTCCGCCTCAGTGACCAATCGTAGCCAACACATTGAAGAAGCCAAGCGGTTATTGAGTGAATGTTTGACTATCTTTGAGTGGGAAGATGAATCAAGTTTGGAATTTTACTTGGCTGACATTTGCCGTAAAATCGCCGACGAACTACGATCCATGGAAGAGTTCAATTTAGATGATTGAACCGATCTTGTAATGGAAAAAAAATAATGTTAGGAAATTGAGTGTATTCTAAAAATTGTATTGTTTATTGAACAATGATTTTGTATTGAGTATGAAAAAAAATCTCGAACTTTCGTTTCACAAAATTACCATGAAAATGCATTTTTATTTTCGTTGTATTCACTAAATATTCAGTTAATGACATAAACAACATACATTTTGATGCTGTAGATGGAATATGTTTCGACGTTTTATGTCCACAGATTCATTATCACTGATGAAATAGAGCAATTCAGTGTCTCCGCCAAAGTTTCGCACACATAAATTAGCAACAAATTGTTTTACTTTTTTTCTAGTATAATTTCTCTGTATGGAACCGCAGAGCTGTTATAGGCACTGCAAAAGTGCGGGCACTTGAATCAGTGCGGCAGCGAGCTCTTTTTGAAAGTATAATTCTTGAGTATTTTTGAAAATTTTCAAATTTGCTAGTTTTTTAAAAGTAATAATATGATTTTATATTGCTGAAAAAAATATGAAATTATAAATTATCGAAATTTATTTTTTGTGATTGTACTAGGTGCGGCACTCAAAATCTAAGTGCCGGCACCGATTAGGTGCCTATAACAGCTCTGTGGAACCGTAAGAAACATTCTTGATTCGTTCATGAAATTTCAAATAAAAAATGAAACAATAAAAAAAAACCGGCTGTCTTTATTGATGTGACCTTCACTCCTTGGAAGATTTAATAATAATATTAAGAACTAATTCACTTGGATTTGAATGAGATGTCTGACGTCCAAAATACTCTTTATTCATCAGGTTTGTGCATTGCTGTTGAATTTATATATAGATTTGGTGATGCATCATGACTGCATAAAACTTGTTCTTCAGATTTCTGTCAATTATAAATTGAACTTAATACCATCTTCAAAATAAATCTATAGTTGGCTGAACCGGGCGTGAGATGGTATTAAACCATTAAAATGACAATAACCCCGACAAAATTCTAGACTTGAACACAACATTCTCCTGTGACAAACATGTGTTTTAAGATTGCTGAGCATCTCAGCATTTCGTAAGGCACGGATATATCCGAGCATATCGACGACGCATACTGTATAATACAGTGGCGTGTGTTACTACGTGCAGCCGCAACGACTCGACCGAAGTATGTTCAGTTGATGTGGCTGCACGCAGCAACAACATACACATTCCGGTCGAGTCGTTGCGGCTGCGCGTAGCATTGCACGCCACTGTATGCGTCGTCGATATGCTCGGATATATCCGTGCCTTACGAAATGCTGAGATGCTCAGCAATCTTAAAACACATGTTTGTCCTGTGATGAGATGAAAAAAAAACGAAGTGTCTTATTTGTTGCAATTTAAATTGGACAAAATTAAAATCAAAAGTAAACCGTTCAAACCTGTTATCTTCTCGAACGGACAACTATAAAAGACAGTGGCAATCCATTGTGTTTATCAGTTGAAAGTCATGCTTTGACGAAGAATGGATTATTAGCCGAGCAGTTTATTGACCTTATTCATTGAGAAAAGAGAAAAGAGAAAAGAGAAAAGAGAAAGGAACCAACATTGAAGCGTTTCACCAAAAATCAGCGGTATTTAGTAAAGTGTAAAACAAAAATCTTCCTAAGAACTTACTTAACTTTCCGAAAATCTTGCAACGTGTGTACAATACAAAATGCTGTATGAGTTCATCGTTGTGAAAGACATTACATAAAGTGGTAAAAAGTTCAATCCATTGAATAAACAAAATGTTGGGTGAAATTTTGTCCTTCATTTCATTGCTCACAGTGTTTGTTTTAATGATAATTGAGTGTCTGAAAGTGTATCTAAATCATACAAAGCTCAGAGCGTTTCATCAGGTCAAAGGATGGCCAGTGATTGGGAAGGGATTGGATTTGATTGGAAAAAATAATGTGGAAATGTTTGAGTCATTCATCACTGAAACCGAAGAAATGTCATACGCTTGGATTGGACCAATACCGTTCCATTGTATGTTTCATGTGGCTCGACCAGAGGATTTTCAAGCGATTTTAACTTCAGACAAGTTCATAAAAAAGGCATTTCCATATACATTTCTGCACAATCGCACAGGCCTATTTACATCACAGCCAAGCATATGGAAAAAGCATCGCCGAGAATTGAACTCGACACTTGGCCCAAAAATGGTCACCACTTTTGTGCCGATTTTCAATAAGAAATTCCAAAAAATGACCGATTTAATGGAACGACAGATCGGTACCAATATTGATATCCATGAGATCATGTTTAGGGCAGTAATTGATACACTATTGTGCACTTCATTCGGTGTTGATTCGGCCATACAAAATAAAAAAGGCACTGAGATTTATTATATGTTCGATTCCGCCATAGACCTTCTTCAAAAGCGCATTCAGCGAGTATGGCTATGGACTCCAATCTATCACTTGACACTAGATGGTAAAATGGAAGATTCGAAATTTCAAGCATTCTACCGATTCAACCGAACAGCATTGGAAAATAAGAAAATGAACTTAGCCGAAAAATTAGAGCACGGCGAAGACGAACTTGCCATAGCCAAGGCGAATAAGAACCAAAATTTTCTACAAAAATGTTTACAATTGGAAGTTGAGCAAGAATTTACGGATGAAGAAGTTTGCGAAGAAATGGACACACTTTTGGTAGCAGGTTTGTGTTTGGTCAAAAATTTTCCTCTGAGGCTTTATCACTAAAATTGCGATCTTTGAATGAGATATTGCATCACTCATTTGTTTATTAGCAGGTGTGGATACGTCATCTACAATTTTCTTTGGCATTACGTTAATGTTAGCCATTCATCAAGAGTATCAAGAGCGTGTTGTGGACGAAATGCGTGAGATATTTGATGACGTGAATGAACCAGTGACCAACTGTCATCTATCTCGAATGACCTTCTTGGAGCTTGTCATAAAAGAATCAATGAGACACTTTCCAATTGCACCGTTGATTGGACGTGAGTGTACATCGGATTTTGAGATCAACGGCGGTGTCATTCCGAAAGGCTCACAAATTTACCTAAATTCATTTCGTATGCATAGAAACGCTAAATTCTACGGTCAAAATGCACATGAATTTTATCCAGAACGATTTTTACCGGAAAATTCCGCCGATTGGCATCCTTATCAGTTCGTTCCATTTGGCGTAGGAACACGGTAAGTAATTTATGCGATTTAACATCAAAACTAATTGAATGCGTTAGAATAAAAAGGGCGTATGATACACTTTCGTACCGAAGCGCAACTCAAATCATTCGCAGAACAAAGTGAAACAAAATCATGTTGTTATTTGATTACGGAACACTAGTATATTGTGTGCAAACTATTTGTGTTTCGTTTTGTTCTGATAACATGTGCGGTGTGTCGTTTTGTTTTACTAACCAAATTGTATTTCACTTCGAAATGTGACGCATTTTTTTTCGAATTACGGCTGTATTGCGACCGTCTACATAGGAAGTTTGTATGAAAACCTCGGAGCGCCGCTGATATTGCATTGGCTTCTATGGCCAAATGTACACATGGAAATATCTCGAAAACGGCTGGGTTAATCGGCAAAACGGACCGTGGTGTCACTCCCGAAGGGAGTGTAAACACCCGGCTGGTTTGACGGCGTAGAATACAAATCCGGTGGAATTTCGGCTGATCCATGGATTCTATATTCTTCTTTTTTTTGTCTTTAGTATTGGAAATTGCAATGGGTTTGTGGGCAGTCAGGATTACAACAACAACAACCTACTGCCCACAAACCCATTGCAATTTCCAATACTTGGCAATTAAATCCATCGGTCTGATATACTAAAACTAAGACAAGATATTCCAAGCTTCATCATGTATTCGGATATTTGAACCTTTAATCACCCCAGATCAAATGGCAGTTGTCAATACTCAAAAATCGAAATTCCTTAAATTATGCCATGGTGTGTGCAATGTCTATTGCGCGTTAATTTTCAGCATCGGACCAGCAAGCAACTGTGTTGTTCGTCGAACAACCGATTATAATACACTTGAAAATTGCACATAAGTGTGAGCGAAATAGCATAAGTTTTCGACACTCGAGTTTTTTTCCATATAGGCCAATGCAATTGAATATAATATTATTAAATTTTTGCACATGGAAATATCTCGAAAACGGCTGGGTGAATCGGCAAAACGGACCGTGATGTCACTCCCTAAAGGGAGTGCATACACCCGACTGGTTTGATGGCCTAGAATACAAATCCGGTGAAATTTCGGCTGATCCATGGATTCTCAGGATTTGGCCAGATTCCAGTGCTTCCTTTTTTATGTGCATCTGTAAACACATTCTACCTATGTTTTGTTATGAAAGAAATTGAAGTGCTAGAATCAGGTCGAATCCTGAGAATCCATGGATCAGCCGAAATTCCACCGGATTTGTATTCTACGCCGTCAAACCAGCCGGGTGTTTACACTCCCTTCGGGAGTGACACCACGGTCCGTTTTGCCGATTAACCCAGCCGTTTTCGAGATATTTCCATGTGTACATTTGGCCATAGAAGCCAATGCAATATCAGCGGCGCTCCGAGGTTTTCATACAAACTTCCTATGTAGACGGTCGCAATACAGCCGTAAATCGAAAAAAAATGCGTCGCATTTCAAAGTGAAATACAATTTGGTTAGTAAAACAAAACGACACACCGCACATGTTATCAGAACAAAACGAAACACAAATAGTTTGCACACAATATACTAGTGTTCCGTAATCAAATAACAACATGATTTTGTTTCACTTTGTTCTGCGAATGATTTGAGTTGCGCTTCGGTGCGAAAGTGTATCATACGCCCTTTTTATTCTAACGCATTCAATTATTTATCGTAAATTATTATCTTTTCTTTCAAATGTATCTCGTTTCGCTTTGATGGAAATAGGAATTGCATTGGAAGTCGTTATGCATTGACGTCGTTGAAAATAGCTCTGTCGCATATTCTTAGGCGTTTCAAACTCACCACTGACTTGAAGCTACCTGATGTGATCATTGAACCATCTTTACTCCTGAAAATTTGCAATAAACATGCCATTCGAATAGAGCGACGAGAGTGGAAATCAAACAAATAAAAGCGCTATAATTGAATCGAAATTATTGAATCATTTATTTATGTGAGTCAATGCAATTTTTCAAAATGTTCAATATTCAATATCAATGGTAGAATTTAATTTTTCAAAGCAAATTGGATAAAAAGGAAAATTGTATCAATTCATTGAATACAACCTAAACGATGTCTTTGTATTGAAATAAATGTTCTAATTGAAAGTTGATCACCGTGAAACATTTTTTTTTACTCTATCAGGAATTTTTAAAGCTTATCCTGCCATAGACTCGTAATTTTACCAGCAAACTCTTTAGCACCAACAACATTCTCGGCACTGCCTGGCAATTGTTTGCACGTTTCATACCAGCTAACAACATTCGGATACTTGCTTAAGTCAGCACCAAGTTCCTGAAAAGCGAAAATTTATTGTAATAACGTAAAAAAAAATTCGCGACGTCAAAAGGTCAAAAAGTTCTTGAATAAATTAAAATTAATTATTATGAATCAACTCAAAATAAACGTAATTTCATTGAACTTACGACAATATTGGCTATCGAAGTGAAAATGGATAAGTCAGCAATGGTTGGTTGTTCACTGCCAGCCACATATGTCTTGCCCTCGAGGAATGTATTTAAAAATTCAACGGCATCAAACAGTTTTTGACGATTATCGTCGGAGATTTTCGTTTGTCCACCAAATAAAATGGGCAACTGTCACAAATACAACAACAAAACAACAACGATGGTCGTGTGAATACAAATTACAAACCGGCCCTTTTTTTCGTAGTAGTAGTCATGGTAATTTACTTACACACACCGCACGAATCCGTGGATAAAGAGTACCACAATCGAATTGCAATTTTTGATTGATCAATGCTCGTTCCTTTGCATCTTTGGGATACAATGAATGCCCACTTTGGAAGTTCTTTTCAATCAAATAAATGGCAATGGCTCGCGATTCAATCAAAACAAACCCATCGTCGACCAGCGTTGGTACCGTGTGTTGCGGATTTAATTTCACAAATTCTTCTTGGAGTTGCTCTTTTTTAAATAGATCAACGATACGAAGCTATTGGGAAGAAACCAAATTATTTACAACATTTGACATTGTCATCGTGCACAGGGTCATTCACCTCAACATCCAAGTCCAAACATCTGATGGTGCTTAGCGCAATACGGCAAGGTGCACTGGAATGAGAAAAAAAAGAATTTCGACAATTCAACATTTAATTACTGTTTATATTTGAAAGCACTGTCGATCTAGCTGTCGATTGTATTCTATTTGATTTACAGTATTTTCATACCTTGGAGCAAAGTAATATAATACAAGCGGTGACATAGTTTAATTAATTGTTTTCTTTCCGGCGAGCTACAAGAGAGCGACGTATAAAATTGACTGAAATTCTAGTCACGGAGCGACACTGGACCAACTCAAAACAAGATTTCGTTTGTACGTGAAGTAACATACATACATACATACACACTAACCAACAGAGCATTACGTTCAGCAACTCAACTTGTTTGTTTGTGATTTTTTTTGGTTGCAGAACGGTTGCGCGGTCAACTTCATTCTGTTACATGCATTCGTATTTGAAGAGTGTATGTCATATTTGGTGAATTATGAACTGATCTGTTTGGTCAATTTAACTTTCAGCTTATAAGGAAATTATCATTTCCTAAACACACATATCTGTAAATGTTTTTTTTCGCAGCTTAAATCAAATTCTAATGAGTTGTTAATAAATGCAGACATAAATCGAATAACGCTGGTTGCTCACATTCTGTTATCTCAGCAATTGAGTTCAACTGAATTCCTTCAAATATATACAACGGCCATATATCAACCAAAACCTTTTATCTATGTTTAATAATCATACCGAAAATCCGTAGAATCATCTATTCTCAAGTATTTGAGCTGTCAGAGAGAGGGAGAGAGTGTCGTATGCATTTGCGCAATATGAAGAACATTTAAACTAAAAGAATTAACTGTTGGTTTTGTTGTTGTTGAATTGTTTGCTTACATTGTTTTCAAGGAATGTAACACCCACAATTATTGACTGATCAACATGAACCACTATATACTTTTAAACTTTATTTTCTTCCACAGGTAGACCTTCTGACAATGGACAAAAAATCGAATAATAATATCCGTTGATCAAACAAACTTTAGACCGATTATATTTGGATAGAGACGAAACGGGAGATATAACATTTATCGTGGACACGGAACCAATTCGGGCGCATCGTTGTGTATTAGCAGCATTCAGTCCAAAATACAAAGCTCAGTTCTATGGCTTGCAACCAGATGAAAATATTGAATGCATCAATTTTCTTTTGGAATCGGTGACAATGGAAAACTTGTGCTTTAGCTTTCAATTGGCGGTTCTGTATGATATTAAAGTATTGAAAGATTTGTGTCAACTTCATATCATCTCGAATGCCAAGATGCTGGTTCATACCAGGGATTTTATCGATTGTGATCGCGAATATTTGATCGAAATTTTAAAATTAGATTCATTGAATTGTAAGGAAATTGACATTTTCCACGCGTGCATTTCATGGGCTCGTTCTGCTTGTGAAAGAAATGGGAAAAGTGCAGCAAATATGGCAGGTTTACGCACCGAACTGGGCGACGCAATCAAACAAATTCGCTTTTCGTCCATATCCATAGAAGACTACGCTGTTCTTCATAAGAATTTGAACGGGTTCTTCACACCGTTTCCTCTGATCGACATATTTTATATTATTTCCAAGGTCAAAGGTCACAAATCAAAACACTTCAACCAAACGTCACGCAGTCAATAAATATGTACAGTTTTATTTACAATTTTGAAATATAAAAAAATTATTGTGGTTTTATTACGTATTTTCTGCTTTTTACCATTGGCCCATATTTAAAATGATAACATTTTCAAATGAATATTTCAGTGTTCTCACAGAAGTCTCCTAATGAGATGATCTCATTCGAACAATTTATAAATTTTCAGTCAAGGTGCTTCTCACTCTTTCTTCCATCAATTTTGCACCGGCAAAGTTATCAGCGGCAGATGGTAGTGCTTTACAGCGCTCAAACCAAGCGGCTATGTTTGGAAATTTGCTCAGGTCATTGCCCAATTTCTACAAGAAAAACGACAACAAATAGATTAAGTCTCCTACCTTAAAGTTCTCTTTTTAATCTAAATATTTGTCAAAACTTACAACAACGTTGGTCACCGAAACAAAAGTGATCGCATCAGCCAATGTTGGCTCTTCACTGCCGGTAAGATATTTATTACCATCCAAGAATGTATTCAACATTTCCAGAGCCTTATACGCATTTTGACGGTCTTCTTCATTGATTGTTGTTGCTCCAGTGTACATGATTTTCCACTAAAAAAATATGAACAGTTGGTTTATGTAGGAATTCTGTAAAATCGGCTGACCAAATTATGGTTAATTCATGGATTTACTTGAATAGCTTTGATTCGAGGATAAAGAGTGCCACAATCGAATTGCAAACGCTGATTGATTAAAGCTCGTTGTTTCACATCTTTTGGATACAAGGAATGACCGTTCGGGAAATACTTTTCCACCAAATATAAGGCAATTGCTCGAGATTCAGTCAAAATGAAGCCATCATCATCAAGCGTTGGCACCGTGTGTTGCGGATTAATTCTGATAAAGTCTTCTTTCAGCTGTTCTTTCGCGAGCAAATCGATCTCGCGAATCTAAATCAAAGAAAATTCATTATATTAAGTAAATGACATTTAATGACTTTGAAATACCTCAACATCAAGGCCCAAACATCTTATTGCGCTAAGTGCCATGCGACAAGGTCCACTGAAAGAAAGAAAAACATACAAAAAATTATCGAACACCATAACAGAATACTTGCAATGTTCATTTTTGTTCCAATTCAATATGCAGCAACAATAAGAGAATTCTATTCCACCTGCTCGGGAAGTAATACAAGACCAAAGGTGTCATTCTGAATAACAATTCTGAACTTTAGTATGACAATTTTCCACTTTCTTCTCTTATATCTTTTAGCAGCCTGATAAGTGATTTGACACACAAACTACACTGTAGCGCTTCAATATGAAGCTTCATCGGCTGGAGTAAAAATGAAATATCATTTTTCATATGTTGTTGAAGTTTAACACATGCAAACCACACAAATACCATCACATAATTGTCGTCTTTTTCAAAAAGATCGTTTCTGTATTCGTTCAGTTGTGAAAAAATTCAAATGATTTCTTCGTTTTTTATCGTTTCAAATGATTCCATCTTAATGGAGAATTGAAATTTCTTCTGAATATTCTACCACTGGAATCAAGAGAAAAATAGATCCGATTGATCAAGACAACTTCGAACTTGAAGTATTCAAAAAACAATAGAGAGATGTATTTTCAGTCGATTTTTTAATTAAAAAATAAATTGCAAATTGTTCGAAATAATAAATAAATTGTTTGCATGATGATGGCAAATCTAACGATTAATTAAATTGAACAACATGATTAATACAAATTGTCTAAATGATTACAAATCAATAAGATAAATGTGCATAACATTATGTTAGAATAAAATTACCTAATTCTTCATGACTAGTGTGCAATCAACGCTATTTCTGTAAAGAAAGATAGTTGTTTTCACTTGATTTATTTTGTTAAATAAATATTAACTAGAATAGCAGGAAAAAAAATTAAAAAAAATTATTTTGATTCGAAAGTAAGAACAAACAGCTGAAAGTATTGAAAACTGAATGATTTCACAACAAAGATAGCAATATATGGTTACTTGGGATGAATCGGTTTGTGTGAGAGCCAACTTCATGTTGGTTCTCGTATACACTGCCAAATACATACGCAATATTTAATACGCGACAAGCCTTGGCATACCCTGACTAAAGACTAGTTGAGAAGTTCGTGTGTCGGCTTTTGAGCGATTCGGTTCGAATTGTGTATTTGTGCTTCAGTACCTAAATTTAACCCAAAACTAAAATCTCCAAAAAAAAAATTCAAAGTAAGTAGCAACCTCTTAATTTTCACTCAACTCCATAAATCAACAACGAAAAAAAAGTGTAAAATTGGGTAAATCATCGTGGTTTTACGACGAAATGAGACCGAGAGAAAAAAAATGCTTTTTGCAATTTTGAACAGCGTGTGACATCGAATGTTCTACCATTGAAAGTTGCAATGAAAGGGCAAGCAAAAGAGACAGAGAAGAAAAAAAAACTTCGAACGAAGAAAAATTACCATTTCATCCACTGTACGAAATTTTTTCGATTAAAACAATGCTCGTGAATTTGTAAAGTGAACTTTTTTGTGAATCAAAGATAATGTTGGATAAGAAAAAAATGGCATTGGATAAAACGAATTTTATGGTTACGTAACATTTTGCGGCTTTTTTTTCTGTTCTTCGTTTGACGTATCAATGGTGACGCTGTGCGTATCTGATGAATTTATCAAACGCAATTGTTTTACTTTTGCGAAAAGCAAGACACTTAATCGCAATTGATGATTTAAATTTTTTGGGTTTTGTCATTTTGCTGTATGTGAACTGGATCAATCGTCATGTAGACCACATGTTATATAATGTAAATACACGATGATGATGACGACGACGATGATGGTGTGTGTATATCCATATAGCGAGCAATACTTTTCTCTCGGTCGATTTGGGAAAGGGAAGAAGAATAACGGCGCACACCATGGAAAAATCAATAAAATACAGAACAAATGTAACGTTGCCCTAGTTTGCAATAATTTCTATACTATGCATCACTTCTCATGCATACCCAATGGATTTTTACTGTAGAAATGTGCAACCAAAACCAATACTTTATCATTGTGAAATTTAATTGTTTTTTTTTCTGCGGATTTTCGTTTCGATTTTTCTTCTTTTCTTACTCGATGGTCAAATTTCATTTTCTTAATCAGTTCTTTCGTCATTCTTATGAAACCGAAGAATCACGTGATATTTTTCAAACGTTGAAAACATAACCAATGTTCACGAAGAGCCTAAATTGTGCGTAATTTCAAGGGAAACGATTGTTGTTTGTTGAAGACCGATGATTTGTTATTTTTTTGCTGCTATTAATAATAAACCGTTCATTCAAATCCGACACAATGAGTGCGAACAGCGTACCGTCGTACTAACGAGCTATCGTCGTTCGGATTTTGTCAAGTGAACCTCGTGTGTACATTACTCTTTTTTTTTGCTCTACGCTTATGTCAATATCAATCTCGCCATTGAGTTTCACAATATTTACACTGACTTTCACAACGTCATCCCGAGAATATGCTCGATGACAACAAAAATTACAAATGACAAATACAGAAATCGGCAAAAAAAGCATTTGATTTGAGTACAATCTACGTTTTCTTCAACGAATGCCCATTAATTCAGCCTCAATTAAATTTCAATTGGAATTATGGCCATACGCTCAGACAAAATACACGTAGGCCGCATCGATTGAAACAATGACCTTTCCTTTAAATCAATAGAGACATTCAGTTGCTATTTTTGCTGCACGTTTTCCCTTCACCCATCCACAAATGCAAATACTTAGAATGCATCATTGTGCCCTTTTCACACACTCTCTCTTCATCTCTCAGTCTTTGCAGTTGTTATTTTTATATCGATGTCTGTTGAATTTTTCAAGTTCGATACATGCAATTCGGTGTAACGACGACGACGATGGGCTGGCGTTTTGCTGCATATTTTTAGAATGTCGCTGTTGCGAATTTTGTTTTCTTCTCGTCTTCCATCTACCGTTCCGTCGCACTAACAACGTGCGGATAGAGTTTGTTTACACCGTGTCAAAATGTTAATGACTCAATGCAAGATATTACACGATGATAATCGGTCGTTTTACTCTCAACCAAATTCACACACATTCCGCATTTAAACTAACGCTGTTTTTTTCCCGTTCTGTTTTATGGTTTTCATTTCAGATGGCTCCACCAACATATGCTGATCTTGGCAAAAGTGCCCGTGATGTATTCAACAAGGGATACAACTTTGGTGTCTGGAAATTGGATGTGAAAACAAAGACCGATACCGGTGTTGAATTCTCGACCAGCGGTCACTCAAACCAGGAAACTGGCAAAGTATTCGGTTCACTTGAAACCAAATACAAAGTCCCCGAATATGGTTTGACATTCACGGAAAAATGGAACACAGACAATACATTGTTCACGGATGTCAGCCACAACGATAAATTCTTGAAAGGCTTGAAATTGACATTCGAAGGTACATTTGCACCACAATCCGGCAACAAAACCGGCAAGGTTAAGGCTTCGTATGGACATGATTTGCTTCAAGTGAACAGCGATGTTAACTTGGATTTGGCTGGCCCAGTAATCAATGCTAGCGCCGTCGTTGGATACGAAGGCTGGTTGGCCGGTTATCAAACTGCTTTCGATACGCAAAAGACCAAATTGGTCACAAACAACTTCGCATTGGCATACACAAACAAAGAACTCGCCGTTACCACCACCGTGTAAGTGTAGCATTTTTTTCTCTCTGTTTTGATTTTAGCACTTTGAATCATTACTTTTGATTTGTATTCAACTAATGTTTAATTTCTATTTCGATTTTGAAAATGCAGGAAAGATGGCCAAGAATTCAATGGATCCATTTTCCACAAGGTCAACGATGACTTGAACGCCGGTGTTCAATTGGCATGGACTTCTGGATCGAACGCCACCAAATTCGGCATTGGCGCCCAATACTCTTTGGACAAGAACTCCAGCGTTCGCGCTAAGATCAGCAATGACAGCCTTATTGGTTAGTACACTATATCCAACTCTTGAAAATTGTCTTCTCTTCAATTGAAGAAGAATGTCTAATAATTTCGAAAATTAACGGCAAATGTTCATTTTCTTTGTCACAGGTCTTGGATTCCAAACAAAGATTCGCCCAGGTGTCTTGTTGGCATTGAGCACATTGGTTGATGGCAAGAACTTCAACGCTGGCGGTCACAAAGTGGGCATCGCTCTTGAGCTCGAAGCTTAAGATGGTTCGCAGCTGAACAACAGAAAAATAATCTTCACCTAATCGCGATAATTGACCGTTTATTTTGTCCATTTTAGAGATGTTGTTCAAAAACATTTTAAACAAATTAAAAAGCTCGATTACAAAACAAAAAAGAATCAAAATAAAATTGCATCCGTTCGATAGATCTGGTTAAATAAGTTACATAATTTCATTGAAATTCAACCTTTTATAGATCAAGTGAGCAATGCATTTGAATTTGGATGTTTAGAATTCGCTTTACTTTGATTTTTTTCTTTGCCACTTTGCATTCATTTACAATCGATTGAAGATGAATAGATAACGGTCGAACATACAGAATGGTATTCCTAACTAATTCAATAAATTAGAAAAATTCTATCAATATAAATAAAAAATGAACAAAAGTACACATTTTTGTCGGTTTTTGATGTTAGACGCGTCCATTTTTGCATTAAGGAGAACGAATCTGTGAATTTGATTTGAATTGTAATCTTAGGAGACGAGCATTTTAAGTAGGCAGATTTCATTGGAAATGCGTTTGTATATCACTGAGCACATCTTATACAGTGACAGTGTAAATGTGGACATGAAGTGTAAGTATGAGCATTAAATTTGCTATTACAACGAGCTGAGTTCGATAGCAATGGGATAATTGGATATGTTGAGCCAACGCTGTCGACATGAATTGTTTTGCTTTCAACTTTTGACTTTATGGGTCGAATTTACGGCGTCTATTTGCATCATAGGTGATGTATATTTTTAAAGAACCCAAATGAGCGTGTCTGTCACTGCAAATGTATTGAATATCCTTATCAGCGTTTTGTAAGTGTAAACAAATAATTGCAAACAAACGATTCCAAACTGTATCAACTCATTTGATTCGCACTCATTTAATTGAGTTGATAACATTTCGATTGATGGTTCAGGGGTTCGTTCATTGAATCATTTTTGATACCATTATCGAGGATGCATGTGCGTTTAGTTTAGTAGAATACAAATAATGTTTTGCAAATATCGACAGTGACAACCTATACCTCAACTTGTGTAGTTTATTAATGCTGTGTAGTGGGTTTGTTAGGTGCGTAATAAGGTGATGTGTATTTGCATTGTTCATTTATGATTGCATTTAGCGAGTGTCACATGCGCATCGTGTTTTGTAGTGAGCATGAAGTGACACCGTTGAAGAAATAATAAGTAACCGGATCACACAATCCTAACACCGTGCGACAAAATAAAAGTTGTTGTTTTGCACATTAGGGTTTTGAATGCACGTTGTTAGAGGACCTCAAAACAAACACTTCTCCATTTTTACTTTCTCCGGAAGACGTCTGAATAAGAAATTTATCTAAAAAAATGTTTGTTTTGAGGTCCTCTAACAACGTGCATTCAAAACCCCAATGTGCAAAACAACAACTTTTATTTTGTCACACGGTGTAATAATAATGACAATCCAAATGCAAAACGATTGAAGTGATTACTGATCAGACTGTATCAATATTTCAATACTTTTACAGCATAATACAATTTTGTACAATTTTTTTTTTATTCACAATGGGTAAAACGGTTTTTATTTACATTTTAAATTAATTCAATAGAATTCAAAATAATGTAAGTCCCAGGCATTTGACGTGACATCTGCTTATTGATGAACGACAGATTTTGTTAATAGGGACAATTTATGTGTAAATCCACATATTATTTGTTGTGATATTTTCAACGCAATTTCAGAAACAAAACTTGAATGGTTCAATTTTGATTGGATTTGAAGTTAAATAGAAAAAATATTAAAAAAAAATTAAACTAAATTAAATTACATCATGTAAACTTTCTCATAATAATTTCCATTTGAAGTCGAGATAAACGGCTGTGTGAATTTGAATCCGATTCCCTCCTTTGGGTGCTTGCAGCGACCTCTACAATTGCAGACGAGTCAAACATTCAACTGTCAAATATGCGTGTTTTTTTAGTGATGGACAAGCCAAATCAGAAAATTCACACATAAACCGGGACCTTGATATGAATTTTTTGTTTTCTATGTATAAATACCAGAGATATTAACAGAAAATTGTAATAAAATCCATATAATTGTTGTTTAAAGTAGTTTACCAGTGAATTTACAGCGTTTCCACAACGGAAAGGCTCGTAAATAGTAGACAGACGCTAAGTTATCACAATTGCCGAACAATATACAAACTATTGTTTAAGTCAAGAGATGGGATCGAAAAAGCACAAAAAACATAAATCAGAGCGGCGAGAAAGATATGAAGGTTGGTTTTCCATTCATTTTTAAGTGTTTTTCAATGGAAAAAAATGTTGAAAATTTTTGTTGTTGCATTTTAGATCAACCATTTTGTTTGGAGAGGCCCCCAAGTTTGAAGTTGATTCTGAAAGTTGGCACCGGGAATAGTTCAACGCCCGAATATGCAAGCAGCGAATCACCTCAGCAGTATGGTGGCATTCAGCCAGAAAGTTTGGGCCTTTTGATGGACTATCCAGAGCGACACAAGAAATCGAAGAAGAAAAAGAAGAAAAAAGACCGTGAAAAGAAGCATAAACATCACAAGGAGAAACGGCGCCACCGGGACGAGTCGCGAGATCGCACAGAGAACGAACAGGACGAATCAAGCCAAGAGGATTTCAGTATAAATGAGGATAGTGCACAATTTCAAAGTGACAGTACGTTGCGATACAATCCAGTGCTAAGCGATAGTGCTAGCCCGGCATCGATATCGGTGTCACGAACGCCACTATTGACTTTACCATTGAAATCACCCATTCTCGATCCGTTGGCCAGTGAACAGAGCCCGAGTGTGAGTAGCGTGCGTTCGGATAGTTTGAAATCACCGTCATCGACCAGTGATAGTGGGCGCGAAGCCAGAGTTTGTGTGCTAAAAGTACGGCAAAGACCATTGTCAAAACTTTTGAACCATTTATTGAGTTTGCTCGAGAAAAAAGATACGCAACAATTTTTCGCGTGGCCCGTTTCCGATGACATTGCACCCGGATATTCAAATATTATCGCTACGCCGATGGACTTTTTTACCATTCGTTCGAAAATTGATGACAGCAAATATCAAACGTTGACCGAGTTCATTGATGACTTTAAATTAATTTGCACCAATGCAATGCGGTACAATCAAGAGGATACGGTGTATCACATTGCGGCCAAAAAACTTCTGCATGTTGGTTTGAAAATGCTGAAACCAGGCAATCTTCTTCGATTGAAACCGCTGCAAATTTATTTGCAAGAGCTCACAGTCACCGAATTGGGTTTCGATTGGTCGCAAAGCCAACACGACAATGATTTGCACATGTTGGTCGATTCGGCCGATGAATCAATGTCGACCGGTGTTGACGAAGTAAATATTGCTCAACTCGAAGAGGAGGTTAAACGCCAGAATATCAGGTAAACAACCCACTAATTCATGTATTTTTTTTTTTTGATATTTTGATTGGAAAAAATTTAGTTTACTAAGATCTAAATCTTTTTCTTCTAATTCTTCAGGTTGGAAAATGAGCCAAAATCGCGATTCGATCCATTCCTTGACGATTTAACGCCAGACGAAATTCTCGCTCAAGTCCAAGATGCAGCTGCTAAAGTGAAGAAAAAAATCTCCGAACGCAAACGATCGAATAAAATGGGTTTCTTAAGACAGAAAAAAGATGGTACAACGAGCATGAATATTATAGTTGATGTAGAAAATTCGTGTCCCGAACGGGTCGTATCACTTGGTGCGTTCACCGGCAAATTGCAGAGCGGAACTGGCCAATTGCAAAGTTTCCGGGAAGATCGACGGAATAATGCAAAGATCGTTAAACCTCTAAATTACGGCACGTATTGCTCATTTGCGCCGATTTATGATTCGCGATTTGCCAATTTGAGCAAGGAAGAAAGTGAACTGGTGCTGAACACATACGGTAAGTGTTTGAACAGCATAAATAGACTCCTCAGTTATTCCTGATTTAATATATTGAGATAAATTCGATTTTTTTCGATCTAATAATTTTTCATTTCGATCAATAACGAATCGTTTCTGCTTCGATTCCAGGTGACGAAGCCAGTTCAGAGTATGCAGCTAGTATAATCGAATTCACCAAGGATAGCCAACACGGGAGTTTCCTAGCGAATAGCCTCTTAGACTATCTCACAAATGGTGAGCATCGAAAAACAATGGCCACGCTCACGGAGAGTTCGCGGCAAAAATTCGAGCATAATGAATTGCAGCGAACGTTCCCCAATCCACCGGCCGATGACGAAAACGAAAAGTTCAAAGATGTGAAAATCGATTTCAACAATCTGCGCACACTTAGCGATTTGGGTTTGAATGTTGAGTTCCTCGGTGGCTTGGAAGAAGAGATAAAAACATTCGAAATCTATAAAACATTGGAGAATCGATTGGAAAACAATTCCGAGTTGCTTGGACGACTGCGCCAGGTGCAAAATGAGCGTTTGTCACAAAATCTGCCGACACATTTATCGAATATTGCCCATCCGAGTGAGGATGAACTCGAGCTAGCCGCTCAAGTCACCAATAATTTGAAAGAAATCGTAAAGGATTTACCACCATCATCTCTCGTCACGCCGCATGCTTTGAGAAAAGCGATGGGACTATCGAATGGTATGTTTCATTGTAAATCAAGAGGATTTAAATTTGAATTTTTAAAAACGATTTTGAAAAATGATTTCAATGGAATATTGTTGATTTTAATCGAAAATTGTCAATTACAGTTGGTTTGGAGCCACTGAATGGATTTGAGGAAAACAAAAGTACATCACCTACTGATAAGTTGCCGGCAGAGACGAATGATGAGTCAATAGCGATGGAAATCGATGCGGACACATCATCGAACGATATACAAAATGTGTCGAACGCTGTGTCGACAGAACCTCAGGTTGATCTCGAAAGTGAATTGCGGGAATTTCTTGAAAGTGACACAACGAGCCTTGCAGCGGCTGCCGCTGACGATGTTGGCATCGATCAAATGCTTATGGCTTAAATCCACTAAACTTAATTTATTTACAATTAATTTTTCCCCTTTTGGTTCACATTTTTCACCATCTCAATGGTTCATGATTGGAGGCAATAATGATGAAAGCAATCAAAGCCTAAATTGTACACGTGTCTGTCCGACTGCCATACGAATAATGTCAGACCATTTAGTAATAAAATTGATTGTGTAAATCTGTATGTCGTATGAATTTTAAAATACATTCAAATAATAATAAAAAAAAGAACAAAAAAACCAACGCTTTATTTGATGTCTTCTTCATTCAATGCGTGTTCATGTTCATATCCCATTTCAAGCGTATCAATCAGGTGGGATGCTGTGAAAAATATTTTGTGTTCACATCGATTTGTGCGTAGCAATCGTAATGGATGTTCAACGGTGTTTTCATTTGAAAAATTGATTCCATCTATCAACGGAAAAGTGTGCCAAGGTGCAAAGTCGCAATAAATTGCGTCATAGCTGGAGGTGATGACGACATCAATCCTTGGTTGCATCACTCGTTGGAGCATTTTTTTCTTGTTCTCGCTCTGATTCGGTCAAGTTCTAATGTGTTTGGCTGTATATTAGTGCCTCTCTCGGTGTGTGTGTGTGAACTTCAATACATGCAAAACATGTCACACGCACTCTCAATTCTTCGCAGTCGCGTTCACTGTTTTCAAGTTTATCCAGTGGCAAGTAGATCCAATTTCCCTCTACACACATTTACACTAACCACACATAATAAAAACAAGGATGTCGAGGAGCATGAACTATAAACAAATCGCTATATGTTACACTGTGTGCTACGCATAGCTTTCGATGGATAGAGGAAAAAGCTTTCGGGCTAGAACATGTACGTGTTCCTGTGAATATATGTATACTCTCGCACACAAACATATTCCATGTACAGTTGGCAATGAATTCGAATCCATTTACAGTGCTATAGACTGAACGCAATTCTGTAAGTCGACCACAGACTAGTCAGCGATCAAAATGTGGAAAACACCATAGCTTTGTGCATTCACGCACACAAAAGCGTTTTGAAACACACTCACAACGACTGCCAACAAATACAAATGCACATCGAATCTGTCTCACTTTCGTTTCGAGTGGTAGTCATCCTACCAATAGCACCCCCTAACACAAATACATGGACGCATTGAACACAAGCACAAAGCGAGTAAAACGATAGCACACCAAACGAAAACAAATGGAAAGCGTAGCGTTGTACGAGGCAAGCGATGCACGGTGTGCGAGTGAGAAAACACTATTGAAAAGCTTTTCATTGACATTTTTTCCCTCCAGCCAAAACCATATGATTCGTATTCGAATATCATCGCCCAACAGCATTCAACTTCAGAAGGCGCGCACACAATTCAGTTTTGCAACAGCCGCGAATTTATTCGGATGATTTCTTGCGTTCGTTATGTTTTTATTTGGTTCGTAGCGCACATTTTCCAACCATTATCGTAGTCATCATCGTCGTCTTCTTCGTCAATCTTCACAATTCGGTGTCGTTTGCCCGTTGTTACAGTTTGTTATTTTTTTTTTCATATCATTATTCTCTCGCTGCACAAATTGTTGTTGTGTCTCGAGGAACCCATACTGATATATAAATATATATATTCAACAGCTTTATTGGAGAAATTCAAGCGATTTGTTGATTTAATAAGCGCCTCAAACAGCAGGAACTTTCACTTTTTCTGTCATCATATTCTATCTTTCACACCATCCCAAAGAAAATCTCCTCTTCGTTGTTCTTCTGTTGATTTGGTTTTTCGTTCAAGCGTTGATTCTCAAAAAAAGACAAACGACATTCATCCACTTGATTGTTTGAACTTTGCGAAAATTTAATTGTTTTTAATGAAGCGAATAGGTTGTGAACAGTGATAACGTAAAACTTAAATCGGGGAGAAATCAGAAACTAACACAAAAAAGTAGCTACGCGAAAATTTATAATGAGCAAAAGAATTTAGTGTTTTGTTCGTGGCGTGTGAATGAAAAACGGCTGGAACGGGAATTCCTGTTACGAGACTTATAAAAACATTGTGAAAATTACTGTAATGAGTGGAGAAAAGCTGATGAATTGAAAATAGAAGAAGACGGAAAAGAAGAAGAAGAAGAAGAAGAAGAAGTGGAAAAAAAAACTGACAAATTAACATCGCTTTCAATCTTTTTAATTGAACCGAAAGAAACTTGATTCCGGAGCGAACGGTGACAACAACACATACACACACAGACAGCTCAGAGGTTCACTTTCTAATTCGCCCTTTCAGCTGTGTGTATTGGTTGTGGAATTTTCATTACGGTACGTATATATCGCAACGTTGACTGCATGCAAAATGTGAATTGACCCAGAAAAACTTCTTAAATTATGTAGTTTTTCATAAGTTGAAAGGATTTTCGAAATGAAAACCAATCACTGAGTGGTCGTATGGCATGCTCATCATTACTCTGCGCTCCGTTTCCATACCGCACGCGCGCGCGAACAATTTTGTTGTTTTGCCATTATGTTTTATCTCTGCTTTAAATGATTCATTCATTTTACCGTTTTCTTTGCTCATTATCCTTTTTTTTTTCTTCATAAAGGTTGTGTCTCTCTCTCTGTCCATTCCCTCTTTATTTCTTTCTCTCCCGTCATTTATGCATCGCGCGCGCTCCAATTTTTCCGATTTGATTATTATGGATAAAGCAACAGTTCTGATTGAAAATGATTTAATGCGCTTTCACTGCTTGTTTCCGTAGAATGTTTGCTTTCATCCATTCGGGATACTTGAGGGTTCTTCTTCCATTCTCAATCTGCTAAACATGCTCCTTGTGCTCACGACCAGTTTCAGTTGTACACCAGCTGCTATGTATATACAGTTCTAAATGAATGTTAAAGACTCGTGTAAATAGTTTTAAAATCTCCCATTTAACCCAAAGAAAACAATGGAATTTAATAAAGTTTCGCTATTTGTGTATTCAAATCAATATCGCAGCTAATTCAGCAACGGAAGGAGGCAGTGCTTCGTAGCAGAATCAGAATCGGTGAACGTATTCCTACGGTTATTTGTGTCACGCCCTCACTGTGGTAAGTATCATTATATTTGTCGTCTTATTACGTTAACTTGATTATTTTAGCCCATCGCATAAACTTTGATGATCCCAACCCAAATAGAGAGTGTATAGAAAGGAATAATCGCCAAGTGATAAAGCAAACCGTGAGCATAATGCAAATAGCACAAGCACACACAGACCATGAAATTGGTAATAATGACAGCCAGAGAATGTCGGAACTATTAAACATCTAATGATGATCATGCAACAAAGAACAATATCTCTGCATAATATATTCTCATTACTATTCAGTGTTTTTTCTCTAATGGCACCGATCTAATTTTAAAAAAGGCAGCAAAACGACGTAGTATGGTGGACAAAACTTCCCTTCCTACAACCGTATATCGAAAATCAGAGAAATTATTCCATTTTCTCAAAGTATTTTCAATACGTTTCAAATCCTCTTCTTTTCAGTTTCTTTCCGCTTATGCCTCTCTCCTGTAGCTTGTCTGTATTTGTTGGTTACAAACAACACAGTATCCGGACAGTTTTTCACTCTTTTATTCCATTTTCTCGCATTGCCATCCGTTTTGTTGATACGAAAAATGAAATATTAAGCGCTGTATCAGCAAATCTATTTCTATTGTTGTTCCCCGTCATTTTATCCTTTTCAGTCCTGTGCTTTCTTTTCATCGGCACGCGGTTTTTATTCTTTGTGCATCGCTTCGTCCCGTTCAATGTTTCTTCTCGGATGAGTTATCTGTGCTTGTAAGCGACCCAAAAGTTCGCAACGCTCACTCTCTCCCTTGCTTTAAACATTTGTTTATTGAAAGCGGAGGACCAAGAGAAAATGAATATAGCATGATGGCGATCGTTGCACGGATCAATGCCAAACAATATAAAAAATGATAACATTAAATTTTGTTGATTGTCAAAAATTAGGACACCGAGATGACACATTTCATTTCCAACCGGCCGATGAAAAATTTGTTATAGGCGCACAAAATGATTCACACTGTGAAATATGAGCACATTTTTATTCAAGTCTGGAAATTACATGTAATTCCCGTGTAATCATTACCCAGAAATGGAGAGAAAAAAACATGGAAATGGAAATCACTTGAAAAATAATCCACAGTCGACGAATTTATCATCGTAATTTATTTTCACGCTGTAAATGGACGAGTAAATTTTCATTTTCAAGAGAGTGAAGAAAAATATTGTATTTTTTCTCCCTCTTTCTCTCTCTCTCTCTCTCTCTCTCTCTCTCTCTCTCTCTTTCTATCTCAAAAATGGTAGATTTTGTATATTTCTTACAACAAAATGTGCTATTACAATTACAAGTGTTGTTCTCAATGAGTACTCAACTCTCACGGTTCAGTGGTTCACAGCGGAAAAAGTTCGACATTTCTGGAACAAGTGTAGTTTATTTGCCTCATTAAATTTTTTCCTCGTTATATAATACAACGGTCAAAAGGTGCTGAAGGAGAATAGGTTATAGACGAAACAAGATGTGAAATCTAAGTGCTCAAGTAGGGTGAATGGAAAAAAAAACAAGAAGTCGACGAGCATAGGTCGAAATGTGATTTTCCCCATAAATATTTGATTAGGTTGAATTCATGAACAAACAAACAGAAAAAAAAACAAACTGTGAACGAGTCTATTGTAACTTTGGTCACTTTCACCTCTTCGTGTGGATACGAGAAGAGAGAAAAATTGTTTTGTTCGAAGGAAAAGAACAGTCCCAGTGCAGTGCTTTTAATGATCTTTTCGCAGTAGCAGCATAATGCGTAGAATCAAAGATGGATTTATATTGAAAGGTTTAGTTTCAAGTGTTACTCGACCTGTGTATGCAAAGCATCCTTTCAATGACGACGACGCTGTGCGATTGAATAAATAATTCACTTACTGGAACCTGATTTCGAATTTAATGGCAAACAACATCTACGCCATGGTTTTTCATTCATAATTTGTCTGGAAGAGAAAAGCTTTAGCATTCTTTCACACCTTTTTCTCCACTCTCTCAGCCATTCCTTCCTTTTTTTATCTCTACGAAACATCGAAATGAGCATCGGCTGAGTGACATGTACCACTCGGGAAATGGCTAAGAGAAAGATGTATTGTTACGGGGATTTTTTGCCTCTCGTTTTTGGTCGATACA